CTCTTGATTTTATACCAGTTAGTTGCTAGGCTGTCAATCAATGAGATGGAGAGGTTTATTCCTAAGAGCAGCTACCAAGTAATTCATAATATGTTCTATCTCTCAGAGTTAAGTGAGTTGAACAAGAAGCTTTCACACTACTTGCACACAATGTTCTCTACTCCAGAACTAAGAGTGATCTCAGCGAAGATTCAGAATCCAACAAACTTTAAGCATGTAACTCTTATGTTAGATGGACATGACTCACGAGCACTATATAATGGTGCATACAAACCAAATCTTTATTCCTTCAAGTTGAAGAAGTCAGGATATAGAACACAAGTTTGCATTAATTTGAATGGAATGGTTGTCCTTGTTTCACCAACTGAGGAGTGTAAAGACCACCCAGATTCTAAGATGATTAAGAACATGTCACTATTGAAATACATCTCTCCAGTAGATTGTGTTGTTTTAGATGGTGGTTATCCTCAAAGTATTCTGGAGGAGTTAACAGAAGCAGAAGAGAATGAGAATTTTGGAATGCATAACTTTTGCTTACCAGTTAGAAAGCCAAGAGGAACCAACTTAAGTGAAGCAGAGTTAGAATATAATAGCAAACTTGGGTCATTTAGATCAATGGTTGAGAGCACATTTGGAGAACTAGGTAACACATTTAAGAGACTTTCAAATAGAGAAGTTGTGAGAATTAGAAACACAACTGTATACAATGTGCAGTTTAAACTCTGTTGCTTACTCTACAATATGAAGAAGATCCTAGCAGCTAGTAAAGTTCCTGTTGAACATCACCACACACTTTGGGTTCTATCTAACTTTGACTACCCAAGCAACAACCAGGAGAGATCAACTCATGCTGAAGTTAGAAGTAGTTTACCACAAAAAGTAGAACTAGAGGCTTCAATGAGAGAACTACAAGATAGACTGATTCAAGCTAAAATTGATGAGTCAATGAACTTCTATGTAGACATGTCATAAGTAACTTTTAAAATAGGAATTTTCCTTAAGAAATTTGTAATGATAGAAAATGCTTCAATAAGGAGGTCATTCAGAGTTAGTTATCTGCACAGCAATTATTTATACATGTTGAAGCTATTGCTAATTTTAGTGAAATAAAAATTTCACCCAAACTGCTATTGGCATCTTGGAAAAGTTTCAGTGAACATAATTTCCTTGTAGTTATTTAGCCATATCTATTGAGATATTGATTTTTGTTGCCTAATAATATTTAACCCCAATTATGTAACGACTTTTCTATCTGGTTGAAATTATATTCACTGAAATTTTTCCAAGATGTTGATGGCAGTTTGGGTGAAATGGTTAAAAAATTTGTATTTTTAAAATCAATTATATGCACAAACACATTCTGGACACAATAATTATAAATATCTTCTCCAAAAATATCTAGTTGTAAAAAATAGTTCAGAAAATGATTAAGTATATACCGAACCAAGTAAATTACAAATATCTAATATTTATATGTCTAGGAATGACCCCCTATAGTTGATAATTCCTTCAGTGAACTAGCTATCAAACTCATTTCTCTTCAGCATTGAGTACTAGTTATGTGAGTATCAACTATGTATTCAGCATCCATAAGAGTGATAGCAGCGCTGGAGCGTTGATCATTTCATTCATAGTTTTTCTTTGCATATTGAATACATGATAGTACCATGCGTAGTTGAGCAATGTTGTAAATGAGATGTTAATATTAATAGGCGAGTATAGCCGAGTTATGCATAGCGATTTCACATTATTCAAAAAATGATAAGGTATAGAAATAGCAGTATGAAGTCATAGTAAGCCAATTTTTTGCCTCTCTAATTTTTCTAGTTTTTTACTATGGAGGTCATTCACAATCACTAAACTAAGTAAAAAATAATTAGAAGTTGTAAAACTTTTTGTTCTTTTGTTTTTTTTGAACTTCTCCGAAACCCCCTTCGGCATCCTGAAAAATTTCAGTTGATTTCTTGTGACCCAGCCTGTATCTCAGTAGAAGCATATTAATTGTGTATCAACTGAAATTTTTCAGGATGCCGAAGGGGGTTTCGGAGAAGTTCAAAAAAAACAAAAGAACAAAAAGTTTTACAACTTCTAATTATTTTTTACTTAGTTTAGTGATTGTGAATGACCTCCTAGTGATTGTGAATAACCTCCAAATGCTGCCATTTTAAAACATCATGTTCTAGTCATCAAGTCGTTATCATCCTATTTATAACTATTTTTCTAATACCAAGCAATCATATATATCATTAATTTTAGAAAGAATCAAATTATGCCATTTTAAAAAATCATAATAAATTCATCAAGTTGTTAGAATCCCATCTGTAATTAATAGATATGCACCAAGCTATCATATATGTCATCAATTTTAGAAAGCATCAAACTGTGCTATTTTAAAACATCAAATATACAAGTTACATAAGAATATGCTTAATACAGTAAATGTTCTTAGAAGAGTTGATGATAATATATCTATTGTTCTAAATCTGAGAAATTACTTCTGGTCTATATATCCTATATCTATGCAATATCACACTTTTGATAAGATGTGATTAGTTTACTATTAAGAGATGCATATTAGTTAGATAGACAGAATGTACTCAAATAAGCAAATAATATGATTTGTCTATAAGAAATGTCTGAGGTGTAGTTTCTATAGGTGAACAAAAGATCAATGCACTAACAACAGTGATTGAAGATGCCATACTAGATGAAATAAGGGCAATATTTATATGAGAATCTAGATCTTAAGCCTTTAGTAAAGAGTTGCTCATATTATTCTCTATTTCAGTAATAGTTTTGTAGTTACATATTATGCACTCTGTATATTCAGAGGACATTCCTACTACTATTTAGATATTCATATTAATAGGAGATATATATAGCCAACTCATATTTAGATACCAGATGATAGTTCTTTTGGAAAAGCAATTACTCTATAGAAAGGAATAATACACCAACAAATATATCTAAGAGTTGTAAGTGAGGGCTACAGAATGGTCATAGTTATATAACTACCATTTTAAAACATATTATATGCTACCATCCACTCCATATATCTATGGGAATTTTGACATACTTCATATATATGTTCAACCTTTATCTCATAAAAAGTTCCACTAAGTTGGATCCAATTATGCACTTGGAATGCTAAGCCAGCACTCATGTTAAAGTCATGGATAAGCACTAAAGTTAGCATGTCTCTTTCTTCAGTACTCAGATCAGCTATATGTTTCTTAAGGAAGTTATGGAATGATGGCATTTTCTAAAATTGATAATGAACCAGAGTTGTGTATCTTATCTTACCACCCATGAACAATCAATTATAAGAATTACAAGAGAAGGAGTAGAAGGTGCATTAGATATTAAAGTTTTAAAAGTTCTAACTATCTTTTACTAAATTTAGCAGTTATGAATACCCTCCATATTGAACAATATTGATAAGAACTAGCTATTTTAAAATCAAGTAGCTAGCATCATATCTGTTGTTACCCCATATCTACAAAGCAGTCATAGTTGTCATCAATTTTAGATTGTAGAAATCTATTTTGTAGTTCAACCATTGATGCTTCAAACTCAACCTTTTGAGGTAAAGTATATGTTGGTTCCATTTGTGTTGATCTTTCATTGTGTGATTCAGGATAGTCAAAGTTTGTCATAACCCAGAGAGTATGATGGTGTTCTACTTGCACATCACTGTTTGCTAGTATTTTCTTCATATTATATAATACACAGCACAGTTTCATTTGCACATTGTAAACATTCTTATTCTTTACTCGAACAATCTCCTTATTTGACAACCTTTTGAATGTTGTTCCTAGTTCTCCAAATGTGTTTTCTACCATAGAACGGAATGATCCAAGATGGGAATTGTACTCTACTTCTGCTTCTAGTAAGTTTACCCCTCTCTGCTTTCTAATTGGCAAACAAAAGTTATGCATTCCAAAGTCCTCCTGCTCTTCTTCCTCTGTCATCTCTTGAAGTACACTCTGTGGATAGCCACCATCAAGCACAATACAATCTATAGGGGATATCCTCTTTAATAATCCCATGTTTTTAATCATTCTTGAATCTGGATTATCTCTACAGTCTTCTGTTGGTGAAACAAGTAGAACCATTCCATTTATATCAATGCAAACTTGTGTACGATATCCTGATTTCTTCAACTTGAAGGAATAAAGTCCTGGTTTGTATGCACCATTGTGTAGAGCTCTTGAGTCATGGCCATCTAACATTAGTGTTATATGTTTAAACCCATGAGGATTCTGCATCTTTGCTGCAAGTAGTCGTAGCTCTGGAGTAGAAAACATTGTTTGCAGATAGAATATTAGCTTCTTATTCAAATCTTGCATTTCAGAAATGTAGAACATATTATGAATAACTTGATAGCTGCTTCTTGGAAGGAATCTTTCCATTTCATTGATTGACAATCCTTCTACAAGTTGGTATAAGATAAGCAATCCTTTTTCTATACTTCTGTAAGGACATAGATAATGAGTGCAGCCAAACAAAACATTCAGAAAGAAGAAAACAGGAATCATCCCTAGATGTTTAAGAAGTGTATCCTTTATAAGTTTGATTTCTCTTACTTCACAAACTTCACTTCTGTGATATTTTGTATGCTTAAGAACTACCCAGTCATCATTCAAAAATTTCCACTTATTTGTGTAGAGCTTATGATATTCCTTTTCTCTGAGTTCTTGTAATTGATGATTCATCTGTGCGATGTACTAATAAATTTAAAAGTTGTCATTTATTATAATGGGCCTATTCTATAAGTTCTTCAACACTCAACTTTCTGAGCTAGATGAGGAAGAGAGAGAAAAGCTAGTCCAACTACTTAGCAGAAATTTCAATATGAGCAGAAAATTAACAGTGTACATCAGAGCATGGATTAAGAATGTTTCAGAAGATAGGGGTGTTAGTATTAAGCATGTGTTTGATGTATGCAACTACAGTTGTGCAGATATGGAAGTAATGGTTGCCAACTGCCCATTTTAAAACTAGATCCTCTCAGTATGGATAATACAAATATGAATTCTAGTTACTTTAAGCACCACTTCTTGATTTGGTTGGCCAATAACAGAAGCAATACATTCACCAAATAGACTACTTGCCAGTACTTTGATAAGTGTATGAGTGCTACTAACTATTTCATTGTGAATCATAGAAATATCTAGATAGTAGGAAGGTAATCCTCTAAAAGTATATAGGAAGTAATAACTAACTAAGAACTCATCACCAACATGAAGTATGTTGTAAGCAACTTTATATCTAGCTGGCTTGAGATCAGTATTTTCTCTTAAATATGTAGGTTCTAGATCATTAAGTTCAATATTGCTAATATCTGCAAGAAGGTCATCTATTCCTAAACCATCAGTATTATCACTAACAATTGAGAGAGTTGAAAGCCTAACTTTCTCTCTTGCTTGCTGAGCTGTTAACCAATCAATATGTATTCCACGATAGTTAATAAGTCCTATTTCAGCAAATATGTGCTGTTGCCTTTGTCTTGAAGCAACAGGCCAGAAAGAATTTCTCTGACTAGGAACAATAGTGATGTTTGTGATATCTCTTCTCAGAACAACTTCAGATTCAAGAGGACCACTACTAGTAGCATATGTAAGAAGAACAGTTGGGTGCCCATTAAAAGAGAGGTTAGAAACAACAGTCATCATATCCTCATTCTATTTCAACTTTTTAGCTATTCCTTGTTTCTACTTAGTTGTTTTATTGAACCAATGGCAGTAACCAAGAGAATGTTCTTTATGGAAGTAAATACACAACATATGTTTGTTATGAATCTGATCAACTAGTGCCATCCATTGCTTTTCATAAGATGTTGCAAATGTCCTGCAGTTATAAAGAAACTCAAGAGTATTGACAATTAAGTTTGTGTTCCATTCTACTTCCTTCAACTCAGGAGAGTGAACAGTAAGCTCAAGTCTCATTAATCCTTCATTCCTACAAGCAACAAGTGTTTCACCAAATTGCTGAGAAGTTGGCATCACTAGCTCTGATAGCTTAGAAGTAAGTTGATTGTGAACTTCACCACTTTCTAAGAGTTGAACAAATTTATTATACTACTTGTTCCTTATTCTTATCTCATCTTCTTCAGTAAACCAGCTAATACAGTTTGCTCCAACTTTATTTTCATCATCAAGAATATCTTTGCTACTAATTCCATTATCAAGAAGAAATTCCTTAACAATAGCTCTAGAAGAAATATTTAGACAATCCATTGTAATATCATAGTTTTGAAGAAATACATGTTCTTGATGCATCCTAAGAAAGATATCAGTTAGTGGAGGATCAGCTATTGCAACATTTGGAGCAGATACTTTATACACAGAGACATTACCATTTGTCACACTTGTGCTGCATCTTATATATTTAAAACTATAACCATCACCAAATACTCTATGCAATCTATCAAAAGGAGTAATATTGTGAAGTTGATCCATTAGAGTATATGAGTCAGGAATCTCAACAACACATGAATCCATAAAGATATCAGATTGCTGAACAAATCCTTGCTGTTCAATGCCATTACTAGTATATCTTGCATCAGATATATCAGGCATATTATCTCTATTCTTCAACTCAAGTCCCAAAAGGGAGTTAAGATGTACTCTTAAGGAGGCCATTCACAAATAAGAAAGTTTAAAGAAACTTAATATCTTATATCAGAATAACCAATTATTAAGTAACAAATCAATTACTAGCAGTTGAGAAATATTTTAAAAATCAGAATGTTTAGTGATGGCCAAAAAGATTTTAGCAACTAGAGTAACTAATAAATAAAAATATAAGAATAGATGCTTCTCTGAAACCCCCTTCAGCATCCTGAAAAATTTCAGTTGATTTCTCGGGATGCAGCCTCTATCTCAGTAGAAGCATATTAATTGTGTATCAACTGAAATTTTTCAGGATGCCGAAGGGGGTTTCGGAGAAGTTCAAAAAAAAACAGAAGAACAAAAAGTTTTACAACTTCTAATTATTTTTTGGGGGTTATATAGAGATACTTATCTGCCCATTAACTATTTATGCATGCTGGAACTATTAGCAATTTCAGTGAAATAAAAATTTCACCCAAACTGCCATTGGCATCTTGGAAAAGTTTCAGTGAACATAATTTCCTTATGGTTGCTTAGCCACATCTATTGAGATATTGACTTTTGTTGCCCAATGATAATTAACCCCAAATATGCAAAGTTTTTCTTTCTGGTTGAAATTATGTTCACTGAAACTTTTCCAAGATGCTGATGGCGGTTTGGGTGAAATGGCAAAAAAAATATTTGTATTTTTAAAATCAATTATACACACAAAAACATTCTGGACACAATAACAAATAATAACTATAGAAAAAATAATTAGTAGCAAAAAATAGTTCTGAAAACGATTATTCAAATATCTATCTAACAAAATTGCAAATAACTAAAATTTACAAGTCCAGGAATGACCCCCTTTACTTAGTTTAGTGATTGTGAATAACCTCCAAACCAGATCTCTATTCCTTCTAGTTGAAGAAATCAGGATATCATACACAAGTTTGCATTGATATAAATGGAATGGTTCTACTTGTTTCACCTACAGAAGACTGTAGAGATAATCCAGATTCAAGGATGATTAAAAACATGGGATTACTAAAGTGGATATCTCCTATAGATTGTATTGTGCTTGATGGTGGCTATCCACAGAGTGTTCTTCAAGAGATGACAGAGGAAGAAGAGCAGGAGGACTTTGGAATGCATAACTTTTGTTTGCCAATTAGAAAGCAGAGAGGGGTAAACTTACTAGAAGCAGAAGTAGAGTACAATTCCCATCTTGGGTCATTCCGTTCTATGGTAGAAAACACATTTGGAGAACTAGGAACAACATTCAAAAGGTTGTCAAATACACTGAGCGGCAAAATTGAGTCATAAAATTTTTTTTCAACTTTTTGATGCTCTATCATTGCCATCAGATAACATAGATACTTCCATTCGATATATGTGTGATAGGGCTTGACATAGTATAAAAGTATGTAGTTACATGTTCTCTAACTGTTGTACCTCGCATGATATCGAAGCAATCGTAAAAAAGTAGAAAAATTGGAGAGGCAAAAATTTGACTCACTTTGACTTCATACTGCCATTTCTATACCTTATCTTTTTTCGAATAATGTGAAATCACTACCCATAACTCTGTTGCACTCGCTCTTCAATAATAATATCTCGTCCACAACGTTGCTCAACTACGCATGGTACTATCATGTAATCAATATGTGAAGAAAAATTATGAAGGAAATGATCAACGCTTCAGCGCTGCCATCACTCTTATAGATGTTGATTGCATAGATGATATTCGCATGATTAGTACTCAACGATGACAAGAAATGAGTTTGATAGCTAGTTCACTGAAGGAGTAATCAACTATAAATGATGTACAACTATGCTTAAGCTCTCTATTGAAGCAATGTAATTCTATGAGTTGATTTTTTATAGTAACAATATATACATAGGTAGAGAGATTACTACTGTGGCTACCTGCTCTATGCTATGAGATATCTATATGTAATCTCTGTGCCTAATGATAAGCCATTTAATCTGAATCACAAATTTTGCAACTTTCTTAATCCTTCTTTAAGCAGCTTCTTACGATCAAAAACATATTAGATCAAATCAAATGTACTTACTATACAAAGCATATGCCCCATAGGTGACTATGGGAATGAAATATCCTAATGAAAGTGCTCTATTCTGTGAACACTGGGAAGAAATCGAGATTCTAAGAAAATCAGAAAAAGTATATTCTTAGTTTAGAGTAGTGTATCTCTATACAGCTATGGCCATTGCTTCCCTAGTTGAGGGGATGTGGCACACTGACCAGTGTGCATATGATGGTATATATCTTTCCTTGGTTACATACCTATGATAAGCAGTAGGAGAGTGCAAAGATTATATCTAAAGAAGTCATCATCACATAAATAGCAAATAGGGCTATAAGTAGGCTAGATATGTATACTGTTTCTACTGTATGATGATCAGTGTAGTCCCCTAGATACGATACGCTACTCACTTATAGGGCTTCATTATGAGTAAGATCTGATAAAAGTCAAAATTCATCATATTTGGCACCTATATTGCGTTGGCCTAAGAAATTATAAATAGGTAAGTAAATGAAACTGTTTATTTGTGATTAGTGAACTCGATGCCTGTGCGTATCGCTGCGGTCAAAAGAACCTATGGTGGCTATGTTAGTTATTGAGAAAATAATCGACGAATTTTGTGGGCAAAATTGAGTCAAAAATTTATATTTTTAAAAAGTTAGTTTCTCACTTATTTCAAAAGCGATAGGCGCACAACTACAAGAAATAGATTAGTGCATGGCATACACCATGATTTAATTTTATCATATTCAATGAACGTCGTTCAGAGAAATTATTTAAGATTTTCGATGCTTTTGATTTTTGTGACTCAATTTTGCTGCTCAGTGTAAGGAGATTGTTCGAGTAAAGAATAAGAATGTTTACAATGTGCAAATGAAACTGTGCTGTGTATTATATAATATGAAGAAAATACTAGCAAACAGTGATGTGCAAGTAGAACACCATCATACTCTCTGGGTTATGACAAACTTTGACTATCCTGAATCACACAATGAAAGATCAACACAAATGGAACCAACATATACTTTACCTCAAAAGGTTGAGTTTGAAGCATCAATGGTTGAACTACAAAATAGATTTCTACAATCTAAAATTGATGACAACTATGACTGCTTTGTAGATATGGGGTAACAACAGATATGATGCTAGCTACTTGATTTTAAAATAGCTAGTTCTTATCAATATTGTTCAATATGGAGGGTATTCACAACTGCTAAATTTGTAAAAGATAGTTAGAACTTTTAAAACTTTATTATCTAATGCACATTCTACTCCTTCTCTTGTAATTCTTATAATTGATTGTTCATGGGTGGTAAGATAAGATACAAAACTCTGGTTCATTATCAATTTTAGAAAATGCCATCATTCCATAACTTCCTTAAGAAACATATAGCTGATCTGAGTACTGAAGAAAGAGACATGCTAACTTTAGTGCTTATCCATGACTTTAACATGAGTGCTGGCTTAGCATTCCAAGTGCATAATTGGATCCAACTTAGTGGAACTTTTTATGAGATAAAGGTTGAACATATATATGAAGTGTGTCAAAATTCCCATAGATATATGGAGTGGATGGTAGCATATAATATGTTTTAAAATGGTAGTTATATAACTGTGACCATTCTGTAGCCCTCACTTACAACTCTTAGATATATTTGTTGGTGTATTATTCCTTTCTATAGAGTAATTGCTTTTCCAAAAGAACTATCATCTGGTATCTAAATATGAGTTGGCTATATATCTCTCCTATTAATATGAATATCTAAATAGTAGTAGCAATGTCCTCTGAATATACAGAGTGCATAATATGTAACTACAAAACCATTACTGAAATAGAGAACAATATGAGCAACTCTTTACTAAAGGCTTAAGATCTAGATTCTTATATAATTATTACCTATATTTCATCTAGTATGGCATCTTCAATTACTATTGTTAGTATATTGATCTTTTGTTCACCTATAGAAACTACACTGCAGATATTTCTTATAGACAAATCATATTATTTGCTTATTTGAGTACATTCTGTCTATCTAACTAATATGCATCTCTTAATAGTAAACTAATCACATCTTGTCAAAAGTGTGATATTGCTTAGATATAGGATATATAGACCAGAAGTAATTTCTTAGATTTAGAACAATAGATATATTATCATCAACTCTTCTAAGAACATTTACTGTATTATGCATATTCATATATGACTTGTATATTTAATGTTTTAAAATAGCACAGTTTGATGCTTTCTAAAATTGATGACATATATGATAGCTTGGTGCATATCTATTAATTACAGATGGGATTCTAACAACTTGATGAATTTATTATGATTTTTTAAAATGGCATAATTTGATTCTTTCTAAAATTGATGATATATATAATTGCTTGGTATTAGAAAAATATTTATAAATAGGATGATAATGACTTGATGACTAGAACATGATGTTTTAAAATGGCAGTATTTGGAGGTCATTCACAATCACTAGGAGGTCATTCATAATCACTAAACTAGGTAAAAAATAATTAGAAGTTGTAAAACTTTTTGTTCTTTTGTTTTTTTTGAACTTCTCCGAAACCCCCTTCGGCATCCTGAAAAATTTCAGTTGATACACAATTAATATGCTTCTACTGAGATACAGGCTGGGTCATAAGAAATCAACTGAAATTTTTCAGGATGCCGAAGGGGGTTTCGGAGAAGCATCTGTTCTTATATTTTTGTTTATTAGTTAATCTAGTTGCTAAAATCTTTTTGGCCATCACTAAACATTCTGATTTTTAAAATATTTTTCAACTGCTAGTAATTGATTTGTTATTTAATACTTGGTTATTCTGATATAAGATATTAAGTTTCTTTAAACTTTCTTATTTGTGAATGGCCTCCTATTGCTTCAATATTATGCGAGGCATAATAGTTAGAGAACATTTAACTACATACTTTTATATTATGTCAAGCCCCATCAAACATATATCAAATGGACATATCTACATTATCTGATGATGAAGATATAGTATTAAACAGTTGAAAAAAATTTTGTGACTCAATTTTGCTACTCAATATACACACAAAAACATTCTGGACACAATAAGTAATATACACCATGATAAAAATAACTAGTATTAAAAATCTGCTCTAAAAACAATTAATTGAATATCTAACATACATAATTATAATTTACTAAAATTTATAAGTCTAAGAATGACCCCCATTATCTTCATTGCATTGGCATATATGGGGCTGCTATTTAGGAATCTCGCTGAGTTCCATAGAGGGTATCTCAACTTGCTTAGAGCTGGTTGCTTCTATAGGTGGGTCAGACTTATATGGTGTACTGCTTATGACCTCAGCACACTATTTAATCTCCTCTAGCTGAACTTGCATTTTGGTACATTGCTTGTCAATGTTGTTGAGTTCTTAGTATACCTAGTGATGCTCTTGGCTCTTATGGTCTTTGAGGACTAGTCTTATTGCCCTGATGGTCAGATCGACCTTATAGTCATCCAGTGTCTTAAGATGTTGAGTAAGCTCACCAATAATCTCTTGCACAGTTTCATAGCACATGCTACTTGAGTAGCTCTCCTTGCTGCGATCCATAGGGCTATAGTTTCACTAGACAAAAATGCTAACCTTCAGAGAGTCTAGTAGTTATGAGTTTTATAGAATGAATAAATGGGAATTTGCTGAGGAGCAAAAACGGAGGATGGGGCTGTTCCGGCCCACAGTGTTTATACAGGTGGGGATTTGGATCTGCATATAGTGACGAAAGGCATAGGGTTGCCCAAATGTCAACAATCTATATTTCTTTTGCCTTAAACACATGCGAAACATACAAATGGCCATGTATGCTGCTTATTTTTTTTTTTTTTGAAATGGTCGCTAAGTGTGTCTAGACCTAAGGTAGATAGCCCAATGCGAAAGGTTCTCTGTGTTGTTGCTTTCAAAGCACGTGCACTTATCATAGCAACTAGGACAGCTAGAGTATGCGAGGTGATCTGTATGGAAAGTTCTACCTCCACTGCAGGAGGCTGAGCACTGTGTTACCTACTTTTAGATTGCCACCTTCACAGCCTTTTTCATGACCTAGCTCCGCTCTTTTTGTCTTTCACTTTGTCAGTTCAATTTGTTTAATTTCACTTTCACTCAACGGCTGCATAATGAAATGGTGGTCAACATTCAAGGAGGCAATTGCGAAACATGCATTAAAGCAACCAGACTACAACACACAGTCAGAGGTTATCGGCTGCGACGTGGCGCCGCAAACGTGGGGGCCGTTTGCGGACATAGGCGCTAGCTGCCAAGACACTACTAGCACATCAACCCCACGACACCGGGCGACGCGAAACACGGAAAGCATCTCGATTATTCAGACGACAACTATATGCTTCAACGACAATGCGGCTTCAGACGATAAGACAATGTGCAGTACTGATGGTCCCGAGTGGCCACTCCATTTCCTGGCACCGCTGTTTCCGCCAACCCCCACACCGTTGGTTATCGTGCTGTTTACTCTTGGGCTGGCTATCAACACTGGATTTATGGTTGGGAGCGGCTATGCATTAGACATTGCCGGACCGGGTGGAGTGCTTGTTGCCTACGGTTTGTCGATACTAGCCATGTATTATGTCATAACGTCATTAGCGGAGATTGTGTGCCAGGCACGGCCGGGGGAAGTTCTGTTTACGTTTGGCCCAGGATTTATTAAGAACCAGTCCGTCGGATTTGCGTTGCGGTGGAACTACTTTTTGTCCTGGGTGACGGCAGCCGCATACCACTTTACGGCAGTGGGGACGACAGCCGGGTTCTGGTTCACCCAGTCGTCCCATGCGAGCAGTATATTTGGCCTCTGTGCACTGTTTGCCAGTTTTATTGCCATTGTATTCAGCCTGCGTATCTACCACTGTGCCGAGCTTACTGTTTCTGCGCTCACCATCGCTGCATTTGTGGTGTGCATAGTCATGGGTGTAAGCATTGTGCGTGGTAGCATTGGCAACGACAAGGAATACGGCACAGCGAATATGGACGATACACCTGGTGGTGCATTCAACAACGGTATACTGGGCATCATGTCTGCGTGCGTGATTTCGAGCTTTCCGGTCCAGGGCACAGAGGTCGCAGCGGTTATGATATCAGGCACTCGGAACCCTGTGAAAAACATCCGGCGCATATCGCTAATCGTGCTTCTGGGGCTGCTGGTGCTCTTTATTGCATCCACTTTTGTTGCTTCGCTGGTTGTACCGTACAATGATACGCGTATGCTTGATCGCAGCGATGAGGATATGGCATATTCGCCGCTGACTGTCATGTTCAGTGAATCCGGCGTCATGTCGGCTGCCCACGCCATCAATACCGTCGTTTTGGTTGAGGGTCTATTCAATGCGTGCACGAGTCTGTTCATTGCATCGAGACTGCTGTTCACCTTCTCATGTCACTCCTTTGCCCCACGCTGGCTGCTGCGGCTGCAGTACCGTGGCGGGCCAGTCCTGTGCATCCTGGCCGCCATGGCGGTGGTACTGATGATATGGTGCGTATGCTTGATTCGCAGGAGCTCATCGCTCATCGTGCTCAGTGGGGTATCGGCATACACTGGCTTCATATCGTGGGGTGCCATAGCTGTTATCCACATCACATCTAGAATGCGGCTGCAAGATTGCCGCCAGCCGCCGCGAAAGCTGGCCTACAAGTCAATCGTCTTCCCGCTGGGCCCCATCTACTGCCTAGCGTTTATTTCGGTCGCGTCGGTGTGCCAGTTGTACATATCTGTCTATGATGGCTTCGACATGCGCGGGTTCCTGTCGACATGCCTCGGCTATCTCATCTTTGCAAGCTTGTGCATAGGTGCTCACTTGTTCTACTCCACCCGTAGATTTGATCGGGTGCCAATCACTATGTAATAATCACTACCAGTCTTTTGTTCAGCACAAACGCATTTTCTGACGCAGCGTTTCCTGTTTCGACTCAGCATTTTACTTTTAATTCAGTACAAACAAATTTCTACTGACAAAAACATTCCACAAATGTCTGAGACTCCTGTTGTGCCGCGCGGCCAGTTCAGCATTTCGCTCGATGACAATGGTAAGCATTGGCTGCGTGTCTAGGCGGCGACAGTAGCTGCAGTCTTTCTGGCGAGCAGCAGCAGCTGAATTTGCATCCCTTTCCTCTTCCCTGTAGACAATGTCAGCGCTATTACAAGCAGCATTAATAAGCTTAGTACTGAGGACAAGGAGAGCACGCACCCGGCAGCTGCTGTGACGGCAGTCAAGCCTGGCACATCAACAGATCTGACGGAGAAAGACTCCAAGCCGGAGCCGGAGCGCGAGGTCGAGGTGCGGCTGGCAGACCTGCAGGCAGACCCGAACTCACCGCTGTACTCGGCTAAGACGTTCGAGGAGCTGGGCCTGCATGCGAATCTGCTGAAGGGCGTGTACGACATGGGGTTCACCAAGCCCTCAAAGATTCAGGAGCGTGCACTGCCGCTGCTGCTGGCCAACCCGCCTCGCAACATGATTGGGCAGTCGCAGTCGGGCACCGGCAAGACAGCTGCGTTTGTGCTGACGATGCTGAGCCGCGTGGACTACGACCTGAACCAGCCGCAGGCACTGTGTCTGGCGCCGTCGCGCGAACTGGCCCGCCAGATCATGGACGTGATCCAGCAGATGGGCAAGTACACGCCGATGAAGGCTGTATTTGCCATCAAGGACTCGGTGGGCAAGGGCGAAACAATCGACGCGCACATTGTGGTTGGCACACCTGGAACTGTGAGCGACCTGCTGCGCAAGCGCTCGCTGTCGCTGAGGAGCATGAAGCTGTTTGTGCTGGACGAGGCAGACAACATGCTGGACCAGCAGGGACTCGGTGACCAGAGTCTGCGTGTCAAGAACAGCATCCCGAAGGACTGCCAGGTCGTGCTGTTCTCGGCGACGTTCCCGGAGAAGGTGCGCACGTTTGCTAACCGCTTTGCTCCCCAGGCCAACGAGATCCGGCTCAAGGCAACCGAGTTGACGGTCGACGGCATTAAGCAGTTCTACATGGACTGCAAGTCGGTCGAGCATAAGGTCGAGGTGCTGGCCGAGCTGTACTCGCTGATGACGATCGGGCAGAGCATCATTTTTGTCAAGACGCGCCACACCGCCGAGCGCATCGCCGCGCGCATGACCAAGGACGGGCATTCTGTCGTTTATCTGCACGGCAAGCTCGAGTCGGAGCAGCGCGACAAGGTTATGGACGATTTCCGCGACGGCAAGATCAAGGTTCTGATCACCACCAACGTCATTGCGCGCGGCATCGACATCATGCAGGTCAATTTGGTTATCAACTACGACATCCCGACAGACGGCAACGACCGCCCCGACCCCGAGACGTATCTGCACCGCATCGGCCGCACTGGGCGCTTCGGCCGCACGGGAGCCAGCGTCAACTTTACCCACGACGAGGAGAGCTACGAGAAGATGAAGGCCATCCAGGACACGCTTGGCTGTGACATCATCAAGGTCCCCACCGATGACTGGGAGGACGCGCGCAAGATCCTGAAGAAGGCGCTCAGGTAATTGCCTGGCCAGGTGCGGGGATTGGTTGGGCCTTGGCGCTGGAGCTAGCGAACTTGTTGCTGCCAATAAACGGGGCTGTGTTGGGCTGCCGCCTTCAAGCTATAAAGAAATGCTGCTGTTGCACACTGCCAGATGTCCGACAGATCGCCCATGCGTTGGGCAGAACTGTGAACTGCCAGATTTTAGGCTTGGGCAGGCGGGCCAGAATCACGTGAAAGCCCCCAGTTGATTTCCTCAGCGGAATAAATAGGCGGTGAGGAGACCGTATGCTGGCAACATGCCCCGCATCCTTCTCCTCTCCTAAATCCTACGCCTAGCATCAATAATACTTTCTCACCCAGCCCTCTACCTTTTGTTTGTTTTTGATACGTGTGTGTTTGAAACAAGGGCGCAAATATGGCAGCAAGCGAGCAAGCCGGCAAGTCTGGCAGCACCAGCAGCACCAGCAACACCAGCAGCACCAGCAGCAGTAAGGAGTCCAAGATGGCCCCAGCAGCCGACTCCACCAGCAGCAACACTGCCACACCGCAGCAGCTTCAATCACGCAACTACTTTGAGCCGCCGTTCCTCAACTACATCCGCGTGCCCACCAAGGGCCTGCGCGAAGAGTGGGAAACGTACGCGCCGCGCGTGGGCGAGTTCTTGCAGGAAGCCCAGACCACAGCAATGGTTACGCTGTGGACAACAGCACCGCTGTGGACGCTGGTGCTGTTTGTGGTCCTCTTCTACCAGTTCTCGAGCCTGCGGACCTACATGGCGCTCTACATGGCGTTTTGCTTCTTTGACCCGGCTCCATACAATGGCGTGGGGCGGCGGTTCGCTGGGCTGCAAAAGCTGCCGGTGTGGCAGCATGTAAACGCATATTTCCAGCCAAAGATGGTGTTTGAGGAGCCGCTGGACGCGCGCAAGCGCTACGTGTTTGGCAGCCATCCGCACGGCGTCGTCAGCTACATGTCGCAGATCATCGCCGGGTGCACAGGCCTTGGGTTCGAGTCACACTTCCCCGGCCTGGTGGTGCGCGGCGTGACCATGCCGTTCAGCTTTATGCTGCCATTTTTCCGCGACTATGTGCTAGCAATGGGCTGTTTGTCGTGCGACCGCAACTCGATCCGGCGCATTCTGTCAGATCGCCATGCACACCCGCACCAGTCGCTGCTGATTGTGGTCGGCGGGGCCGAGGAGAGCATGCTAGCTCATGGCAACCGGGCCGATCTGGTGCTGCTGAAGCGACGCGGGTTCGTGCGTGAGGCTGTGATGGCTGGCTGCGACCTGGTGCCGGTATACAACTTTAACGAGAACTCGATCTACCAGCTTGCCGAGAACCACAAGGGGACCCTGGTGCATCGGTTCGAGATGGCTCTGCGCAGGGCCTACGGGTTCACGATCCTGCTGTTCCATGGCCAGAACGTGTTCTACACGCCGTTCCGTACGCAGCTGACGTCAGTGGTCGGCAAGCCCATCCGCGTGCGTCGCAACTACGACCCCAGCGATGAGGAGGTCGAGCACTACCACGGTCAGTACGTCGATGAACTGACCCGCATCTACAAAAAGTACAAGCCCCGGTACGAGCCGGCAGCTTCAGAGATTCGCTTTGTTGCATAGTTATGCCCTGTTTATTTTTAAATACTACTGCTCAACTCGTTCACGGCCGCCTCAGCTCAGGTCGTCGTCGCCGTCTGGGTTCATCTCCTTGTACCGCTGCCGGAGCTGGGCAATCCGCTCCTCCTCCTTGGCAAGATCGGTCTTTTTTGACCGGTGGTTTGTCTGGTAATACAGCACAATCAAATACCGGCCCATCACGTTGAACCCTTGCAGATGGTCGCATGCTTCCTTCGCGTCGTAGATGTCCTCGTAGACGACAAACGCTGTGCCTTTGGTAGTAGGCTCGGTGCCCATGCGAATCTGGCGGATAGCGCCGTATTTGCCAAACAGGTCAAACATTTCCTCTGCAGTGATCTTGAACGGCAGGTTTTTGACCAGCAGGATCCGGTTCACGTTGGGCGGCAGCTGCGCTGTGCGGTTCTTTCCATAGGCCAATGACATGATATGAGTGGAAGCAAGTTTTGTGGCGGTGGAGGGATTTATTGTTTTTTCGCTTGCTCAGAATATATTAGAAATCCATCGCGTGTGCAAAGTATGGTGATGGGGAGTGATGGGAGTGGAGAGGTGAGTTGTATAAATGTCTATGCACGGGGGTTCATCGGTTGGTTAGTAACCGTAGTCGCGGGCGTCCTGGGTTGAGATCCCACCGCAGGGCTCAAAAACCGGGTAATCTCTGTTGAGGGCGCAAGGGGACATGGTTCACGAAGAGAGCCTTTTGAGACTGGCACGCAGAGACTATGGACGCTGCAGTGCGGAGTAATGCAAACGAGGGGATGAAGAGGGAGGGGGAATGGGAGGGAAAACGGCGATGTTGGAGGGGCGAGGAGCGAAATGGGCTGAGCCATACAAGCCACACCAGCAGCAGCCTATTTATATGTGGCGGGCCCGCCACACGTTGCCACATATCGACAGCTTTTATGCCTGGTCCTGCGTCTGTGCAGACTTGTTTTCACGTTTCAGAACATGGCCCCTTGCGCGGTAAAAAGTGTTAGCAGGTCCCTTTCTGCGATCGCAGGGGCACTGATTAGGAACTGCGAACGATTCTCGATCAATGCCGGCTCCGGGTCCTTTCTGCGAACATGTCGATGAGCACTAGCACAACTTGAAACAGAGGTTCCCTGTTTTAGTGATCTCTGTGAGCTTCCATGCGTGCGCCAAGCTACGAAAGGCGTTTGTCTTTTAGGACAAGGTGGCCGTGGCACAGATAAACAGAACACTGCTCGTCTTTCCATAAAGACCCCCGGCCTGCAGTGGCACCAGCACACGCTGTGGCTGCAAGGTGCCAGCAAGCAGAAGGGCAGTGCCCTGGCGTCAGTCCCTATTGCCATAGAAGGTGTGCACAGTGGCAGGCAAGCGCTGGGGTGCAATTCCCACAGGCTTTATTACAGTCCAGTGAGCAGCCCCGCGCTCTGCAAGCACAGTCGCCGCGCCAGAAACAGGTACGAGCTCCTCTCCCACACCCCTATCGCTGACGCTCTCTACCCCTTTTTCTGCTCTTCCTGTCCCACCATCCGCTGGAATTAGTGCCCAAAAAGGGAAATGAACTCCTTCCATGTGCTCAGTCATCGAGTGTTCCTCAGCGGTCAGCTGCCAGGCACCAAGCTCCTCAGAGAGGCTGTGCGGCATTCCTAACAAACAGAATAAACCCCGCTGCTGCATGCAGATGTAGTAGCAACGCATTCACCAACGTGCAGGTAAAGGCGCGAAGGCTGATCGACGGCCAGTGGCTCAAGAAGCTAGAGAGTGGATGTCCTGTGCTGCATCAACTCCACCCCTCTCCACCCCCTTTTTCATCTAACGGCCCTGCCATGCGGTGCTGTCGCCCCGCGAGCTTCGTGGGAGGCTTTCCCAGCAGGCTGCTGCAGATTGGGGAGCGAACACTGGTCTGGCTGTTATTTTTGGGCGGACCTGCTGAACAGTCCATCCAGAAGCAGAGTTTGAGTGCGACATGCAAACGAAAATGTAAGAAAGCTCCGTGCGCGAGCGGGGGGAGCGTCAGCCCAGCGAATTCTCCCAGCCTGATAAATAGCCCAAGCGGCCGACGCGGAACAAGCCAGGCCAGAAGCTCGGCGATAAAAACCCCCACCGGCAGACCTCGATCTACACGCAAACGCTGCTTTTATTTGTCATTTCCTTTTTCCCCGCTCTACGTTTTTTTGCGACTCCCACTAATTGTACCATATTCTTCATGTCTGGCACACCCCGCACTGATGACAGCACTGCTGCCGGCTCGCTGACACAGTCGGCCGACATGGCGCACACATCTACTGCCCAGAAGCACCGGCGATTCATGCGCGAAATGGATGACTGCCGGGATATCCTGCGAGGCTTCAACCCGGCGTGGTTCACAGCCACCATGGGCACCGGTATCACTGGCGTGCTATTCTACGGATTCCCCTACGAGTCGGCAGCCATCCACTACATCTCAATGGGCATTGCGTTGTTCAATGTGCTGCTGTTCGTGGTGCTCAGCGCCCTGCTCACCGTGCGCACAGTCATCTACCGCGATTTCCACCGCATCATGCTCCACCCGCAGGCCAGCATGCCGCTGGGAGCCATCCCGATGGGTCTGTGCACGATCATCAACAGCCTGATATCGATGCTCAAGCCGTACCACCCGCCATGGATCCCGACGCTCGTGCTTGTCCTGTGGTGCATTGACGTGGTGCTATCGCTGCTGTCTTGCCTGTCGGTGCCGTTCCTGCTGACGTCGCACCAGAAGCAGTCCCTCAAGACCATGAATGCCACATGGATTCTGCCTGTCGTGCCACCCGTGGTTGCTGCGGCATCGGGTGCCCTGGTAGCATCGATCCATTCGGGCTGGACCGCCAACACGATCGTGCTCGTATCATACGTAATGTGGGCCATGGGTGTCGGCATTGCCATGATGCTGATGACCATCTATCTGCTGCGCCTGGCGCTCTACAAGCTGCCAGCCAAGGAGGCCATTGTGTCGGCCTTCATCCCCCTGGGTCCGCTCGGCCAGTCGTCGTACGGCATCCAGCAGCTGGGCATCGAGGCACGGCGTCTGTTTCCCGAGACCCTAGCCAAGGTGCCGGGCATTGGCGAGTTCATGTACTGCTTCGGCTTTGCCACTGGCCTGCTCATCTGGTCCCTGGGTCTCTGGTGGCTTGCCCACGCCATCTACAGCGTGCTGTGCACGCGCAAGCGCTCCCACGTCCCCTTCAACCTCGGCTGGTGGGCATTCATCTTCCCAGTCGGCACATTCACCTCGGCCACCGGCAGCCTGTACGCAATGTCTGGGTACGATTTCTTCCGCGTGCTGGATGCCATCCTGATTGCAGGCATCTTAGCCCTGTGGATCTATGTCATGGCCCAGACCGTCTGGTACGCGTGGAGCGGCGCTCTGTTCGCGCCTGTCGCCGTCGCAGCTCCCAAATCCCGCCACAGCCACCAAACGCTGTCCGACGCTCCCAACTCCAAGGAGGAGGAAGAGGACCCGGCGCACCTGGTCTAGTTAGAATCTTCGAACTCTCAGTTAATTGTACGATAAATATTTTGCTAACGCTGCTCTACTCCTGGGCCGTCTTGATATTGGACTCGGCTGTCTTGGGCTTCGGGCTGATCGCCGCAGCCTTCTTTGCCTTTGCCTTGTCAAAGTGCTTCTTGTGGTTGCGTCTCCGCTTGCGGTCCTCGCGCGTCATCTCGCTGCTGCCCATCAAGTCGCCTGTGCGGCCGTTGCGGCCCTTGTCCTTCTCGTACACCTCCTCAGGCGCAAGCTGCTGCGCAGTCGACACAGTGGTTGGCAGCTTCTCCTCCATCTCGAGTGCTGGCGCGCTTGACCGGATCTCGATCTCGGCCGACGCTGGCTTCGGCGCAAAGTGGAAGTGGCTCATGGCGTCGAGCTGCACAAACAGATTGCGGAACAGCTCGTCGACCTCCTTGTGCGCGGCCAGTACCTTGGCATCGTTCTCGGGGACATAGGCATCGCCGGCCTTTTGCGCCATAAACGCGTCCTCGTACTCCTCGGCCAGCGACTTTTGCGGCGCCTTGTCGTTGAGCTCAAACTGCTCCGACGGCCGGAACGGCTTTTGCTGGATGTCCTTCTTGCGCTCGACGTCGTCCCACTCCTCGTTGAGGATGCGCCGCTTGATGATGTCCTCAAGCGACTGCGTCGCCTCCTGGGTAATAACCGGAACCGCCTTCTGCACATGGTCAAAGTCAACGTCCTCCTCCAGCAGACTGTTCTTGGGACGCGCGCTTGAATCGACCTCACCGGTCATGGTCCAGTGCTTCTTCTCCACTGCCTCGTCCTCGAGCTTGGTGATCAGACCCTGGAGCTTCTCTTGCCGCTTCTCAAACTCGGACTTGCCTTCGCTGTCCTCTCCAGTCCCCTCATCGTTGTCACTCATGTCATCGAATAGGTTGGTTGTGCGTCCAACCTCGCCCTCGTCCTCTTCCTCTTCCTTGTCATCCTCCTCGTCCGACTTGTCCTGATCGCGGATCTCAACCGATGGGTCAAACTTCACGCGCTTGGCATGCTTCTCACGCGATGCCTTGGCCGCAGCACGCTTTGATCCCTTTCGGCGCCTTGAAGAAGTCGCCGTACATCATTGAGTCGGGGTTCTCCTCGTCGTCACCCTCCTCGTCATCATCGGCATCCGAAAAATCCTGGAACAGATCAATGTCATCCTCGTCCTCCTCGCTCTCGTCAGACTCTTCATCGTTCTCTTCCTCGGCTGTGGGCTTTGGGTAGTCGCCTGCTAGGATCGCTCGGTCGCGCATGTCCTCTTCTTCAGCATCGTCGGCAAACTTTTCCATTTCAGCAAGCGAGAAAAACTCGTCATCGATTATTGACGGCTCCGCCCCTTCGCCCTCTGATTCCGACTCGATATCGTCGCCGTCCTCTGAGGCACTCTGCTCCACGGCAGATTCACCCTCCTCCTCCTCCCCATCGTCTCCAGATACTGCCGCCATCTCTTCATCGCTGGACTGCATATCAGCCGCATCGCTATCTTCCAAGTCAGATGCACTCATGTCCTGATCCTCCATATCCTCATCGCTGGCCAATTCTGATTCCGAATCAGAACCTGAGATTGCCGCAGAGTCCAGGAGAAGCGACAGCTCCTTCATGGTATCGGCAGTGTGCTTCAAGACCGGCTCGTTGCGGAAGCTGATCAGCTCCCATAGCTGCAGGCTCGGATCGAACCCGCTCTCGGTCACCGACTTCCAGTCGTCGTAGAGGCCAAACTTGTCTGCAATATTTGCCGCATCGTAGGTGCGTCCAACAACCTCCATCGCCGCTGTGCGTGCTTCATCAGTCGGAACCACAAAGGCGCCTGGGCGACGCACAAAGGCATCCAGGAAGGACTCTGGGATCGTGCTATCAAACTCGCCCTTGCCCATGGTCATGTATGTAAAGCGCGGGTTTTTGCGTGTGTCAAATTAAGCGTGCCTAAATGGTGGAGAAAAAAGACGCAGGCAAAATAATAGGTGGGCAGCTTTGGCAAGACACGGATCCGGCCTGCTGAAAAAAAAGCCCATGAATGGTGAAAATATTGCTGATCCGCCGATGAGTGCGTGATCTAGATATAAAAAAAAAAAGTCTGCACGCTTGCCAGGTCCACCCTTTAGCCGGCGCCTGAAGAAAAATTTGGAGCCGGGCTATGCACCTTCAGACAGACACAGAGCACAGCAGCCTTTTTGACTCCCTGTATTTTCCGCTTTCGTTTATTGAGGAGCAAGCAATTAGAGCCAAGGGAAGGGGCCCTGCGTTCACATTTTAAACCACCAAAACCAAAAAGCACCGCACCCAAAAACAACATATAATGTCCAAAACGCCAGGTCTCCAGCATAACATCGGACGAGCGGTCCAAGGTGTCGGCTGTCGCAGGTGCAGATCAGGCAAACCAGCCCATGCGGGCAACCGATATGGAGGTGGACCAGGATGCGGACATGGGCGAGTTCGAGGATGCCTTTGAGGACGAGATCGAGGAGGAGGATGTCGTCGAGCGTGCCGAGGACTCGGACGGCGTGGAGATGATGGAGGACGAAGAGGATGAGGAGGAGTCCGAAGACGAGGCCACTGCCGAGCAGCGGCGCCAGGTGTATCTGCCCGGCGATGCCCTGGCTGAGGGCGAGGAGCTGCAGGTCGACAACTCTGCCTACCACATGCTGCACAACATGACTGTCCAGTGGCCCTGCCTCTCGTTTGACTTTGTGCCCGATGCCATGGGCGCCAGCCGCTCGGCGTTCCCGCACACAATGTATGCTGTGGCGGGCACGCAGGCCGACAACCACTACAAGAACCAGGTTCTGTTTATGAAGTGGACCCAGCTTCACCGCACTATCAACGACGACAAGGACAGCGATGAGCAGCTTGACGACGACATCAACGATCTTGACGAGGATCCGATTCTCGAGACCAGGACCATGCGGCACATGGGCGGCGTCAACCGCGTGCGCGTGCTGCAGGACTACAACTCGATGGCGGCTGCTACCTGGGCTGACACGGGTAAGGTGCACATCTGGGACATCAAGAAGATCATGAGCGCGTTTGAGAACCCGGGATCGCAGGTGCCCACATCGGCGCAGACGCCGCTGTTCACGGTTGCCTCGCACGGCCGCACCGAAGGCTACGCGATGGACTGGAACCCCGATGGCAGACTGATCACGGGCGACTGTGCTGGAAAGATCTACCTGACGACGCGGCGTAACAACACGGGCGCCAGCTTTGTTGCCGAGAACACGCCGTTCCGCGGCCACCAGGGCTCAGTCGAGGATCTGCAGTGGAGCCCCGAGGAGTCGTCAGTGTTTGCATCCTGCTCCGTCGACCAGACAATCAAGATTTGGGACGTGCGCGCCAAGACCCGTGGCCATGCCCTCGAGGTTCCTAACGCCCACGACTCGGACGTCAATGTGATCAGCTGGAACCGCAAATCGCGGTACCTGATGGCTAGTGGCGGCGACAATGGCGATTTCAAGGTCTGGGACATGCGCAAGTGGACCGATGCCAGCGGCCGTTCCTCGCCCGCGGCCCAGTTCCATTGGCACAAGAAGGCCGTCACCTCGATCGAGTGGTGCCCGACCGAGGAGTCGGTGCTGGCAGTCTCGGGTGCTGACGACCAGATCACGCTGTGGGATCTTGCTGTCGAGCTGGATGCTGAGGAGGAGGCCCGTCATCGGGCGGCTATGGTCGGCCCCAACGGCTCCCGGCGCGAGGTGCCGCCGCAGCTGCTGTTCATCCACCAGGGCCAACGCGACATCAAAGGAGCTTCACTGGCATCCTCAGATCCCAGGTGCTTTGTCGTCGACGGCTCTGACCGGCTTCAACATCTTCAAGACCATCTCTGTTTAAATGTTCGATCGTTTCTGCTTTTACACTACAAAAAACATCAAACCACATCTGGCACTACCTTTGTGAGAGTTGAAAATCCCATGTCGATAGAGCAGGCTTATTGGATACATATCGCTCTACGTAGCAAAAGGTATCGAACTTTTGCATCATTAGCACATTCCTAGGCATTCGCTAGTGATAACGATTGCCCAGTCTCTTGTCTAGATGTTTATCTTTTTCTGCTCTCTGCACTGCTTATCCTATGCTTTTTCACCGGCTGCCTTGAATCGTACTCTACACTATTCCCTGTGTGACCCAGACCCGCTTCGCTTGCATATCCGAAATATGAATAACTTTAACCACTGTGCACTAGTTTGTGCCAAAATAGGACCTAGCCACCTTGCTCTTTACATTACTAAAACAATAGCAGGCATATATTTCGTCTCTCTTGGCACTAATGTGCGCTATGTCATGATTAGCAATTGCTCTTGCACGTTAGGCTAGCTGTATCTGCAAATTGAAGGTTGATTGTGGAATCATCCACCATTAGGCTTGCTGGATCTCAGGTCTATGTATTGGCACACCTCGAATTTGATCAAGGAGCAGATATCGCTTTGATGCTGGTCAATTGTATTCGATGTCACCAATGGATTACATGGAACAGATTGAAGTATACTGGGCACGTAGAGCAAAGTAAAAGGAATTGAAGTAGATAGTGTACTGACGAAAACTAGTACTATATGCGTGAAGAAATGACAGGTGGAAATCCCGGTCAAAGAAACAAAAAAGAACAGAGAAGATTTTGAGTGGTTTGACGAGTTATGTATCAAAAAAGTGTACCGGGACTGACACATTCCCAATTAGTTGTAGTACTGGACCAACTCACCTTGCACTCCGAATGGCAACCAAGTTATCTGCTATTATTCAACAAAGTACCGCAATGACTATGACTTCTTTGACACTGCCAGAAGGCAACTGGAGCGGAATACAGCAGGTACACGACACACTCGGTTAAACGTCTTTGCTCTTCTGCATTTTCTTCTCTGCTAGCTTCTATTTGAACTAGTCGAGTAACTATGCTCATTGAACCCTGTCTCTGCACTAAGTTACAGCAAATTCTGGTAATATGTATTCAGTTGTTTTTGGTAGGTACACTTCAGAGTATTCCAACCTAGACTTGCTGCATCCAGCGTCAGCCGTGTATACAGTATCACAGGATGAAGGATTGATTTTCTACCCTGAATCCACGTTAGATTTAGCTGGTAGATAAAACCACCAGGTAGTTTGTAGTCTACTAGCACTTGACTAAACTATATAATTCATAAGCCAGTACAGCGACCACGAGACTGTGCATCAAGCTGACATGTAGATTGCCAGCGACTAAGTGGATGGAACAACCAGATACCAAATATGCAACATGCTATGGAGACAGATATTTGCCTGTGATGTCTGTGTACAAAGCTGGCGCTGTATAAAACAAACTATACTCATAAAGTACTCTCAGGAGCTATACCTTCAGATACAGTTTGTTGTATATGCTTTCTGTGGCGCCAACCACATGCTCGCCATTAGACACACCCCTTTTCCTTCCTAGTCAGTGGATCAGTTTGGCTCCCAGCGGGTACTTCTCTTTCTGTGCACCGCTGCTCATTTCCACACCCGCAGCGCCTTGCATTGCATCCGTCCGCATTTGCCCATCGCTTTACATTTATGACCCACACATACAAGGCCCCTCCTGTGCTATCATCTTTTCGTCACCCATCCATTCAGCCCTGCATATTTCGGCTCTACCAAACCTCCATCCTTCCGATTATTAATGCTAGCTGTCGTGCGCTTGCGATGCAAGCTTGCCTCAGTGAGAGCCAGTTGCTGCTGGGCAGGCATGGGAGCTGAGCCAATCCACCGAGCAGGAGGAACTGGTGGTGCATCTAATTACGAGCATGTAGTTCAGCAACATAGATTCAATGTAAGGGAACTGCAAAACGGCCAAGCAGTCTTTACGATAAGTGGACATTCGACATTATTTGCTTGAAATGTGTAGGCAAGTATGTCACATTATCACTTAGAACAGGTTTATCCCGATGCCGACGTGAAGTCCCTTGACATACTTGTAGTCACTGCCTCCAGGCTGGCCAATGGCCTCCTCAAATCCTTCCGCAATTCTCTGAGCATCGGCTTCGTCAAGGGTCGACATTGATGCTCGTTTGAGTGAAGGAATCAGGCGGCGGAACCATAGGAAGTAGCGACCAAAGTGGTGTAGGGCTGTCAGGGTGGGTGTCCTGTACATACATTTGAAGCTTGTGTATGCGGGAGCGTGTGAGGGCTTGTGTCTCAAAGTTGAAATCAGGAGCTTCAGGTTCAGGCACCAGTGTGAATGTGGCAGAGCGCAAGCCCGGACAGCGTTCAGCCAGCTGTAATAGTTCAGTTGGAGCGAGACGCAGCTCAGGGCAGTCACAGCGCTGAAGATGGCTGAGATTGTTGGTCTTGGTTAGAATATGCGATGCATTGAGCGGGCTTTCAGGGAACCTGATGTGCGTGGCTTTCGGAGCCATTTGAAGCACACGCTGGAATAGCTGGACCTGTCTCGTGTGGATCCTGCATCGAGCGTAGCGAACAGGAGACTGAGACATTGATGCTGCGCAGGAACGGGTATCCAGTAGTCTGGTCGATTGTGCGCTTCGTCAGACATGTATATAGTTCGGCACCAACTGTCATCTTGAGATGTTCCAGGCACGCTCTATTCTGTACCAGGACTGTATCGTCAGTGAACGGATACTCTCCTCGGAAAACAAGTCGGCGCAACTTTGGGAACTCGACGCCAGCCAGTTGGATGCTGAGGGAAGGATCACGGCTGTGCTTGGGTTCGTTAACCTCAATATCAAGCGATGCAAGCAAGGCATACACTACTGGAGCCCCGTCTGTGCCCCTAACTATCTGCAGCAGCTTCGCCGACGGAATGCTGGCAATACTCAGAGTCCCAAGTACGAGTGCGTTCAGTCGGATGGCGCTGACCAGACTGTCGGTCCACAAAACACGGTTGCCCAGTGATATTGTCGTCAGCTGCGGTGCACCCTGGTAGGCGACAGTGTCCAGTGATAACGCGCTGGGTGCGGCAATATGAATCTCCGATTTGCCATATTGCAACGCACCTGTGAGCTCTGGAACGATATCGCTATTGGGAAGAGAGTACCCGATCTCAATGCTGGAGATGGCCAGCGATTCGACGTTTGGCATAGCCATGTTGACAATGTTGGCAACCTGGTGTACACCTTTGCGAGTCGTCACAATGTCGTGTGGACGGTAGCTGAAACACTGGTAGACGCACACCAAGAGCTCCTTGACACGCGGTAGGCTGATCGATTGCAAGAACAGCAGATGGCCGGGTAGAGAAGCACCGCCGGCAAACATGGTCTCAGGAAGGTATAGTACCATACGTTTGACTAGGTTTCCAAGACCAAGGCCATATACCTCGTGCAGATCCCGTGCGGGCTCATTATGACGCGAGTACTCAGAGTAGCCAAGCCAGGCTTCACGGAAGCACATGTGCGCGCACACAGAGTGCCAGCGATCACAGACACCCATCATGCGCACGAGCGAGGTGTGCGTGGGCTCAGTCGACCAGGCATCCTGTGCTGTGGTCGCCTCCAGGAGGTACTCGGCTATATGCAAAAGAACGACGTCTGGAAGCTGCTTTACTGACAGCATGCGCTGTGTCTGCTGAGCTTGTGCTGTCAACGATGCGACCATGGTTGCTTAAAAATACCAATGAAATATCAGAACAGGAGCGAGAGTTGGAATGGACAGTGGGTGCTGTGCCAATGCTGATAGTGAAGGATGCGAGCTGCTCGCTTTATATTCAGTGGGCCATGGCGCAGGAGGCCGGAACTTTGGATGCCAGGAACCTATGCTTGAGCCACTCAGGCTGCCTTCATTTGAGCAGTCGAATATGGCAAATACAGCGATCGATATGGATGCCCATTTGCTGCTGAAGTTCCGAGCCCACGGAGGTTTGGCCACTCGCTTGAACGAATGCGCAGGCAATTCATCTCTGGCTGCTGCTGACTGGTGGTCACATTAGCTCTGCTGTGCACTGGCCGCTGGTTGGTGTTCGCCCTTGGCATCCAGCGAGGTCTGGCCGAAGGGGCAAATAGTCCTGATCACCAGATCACCGCATCACAAAAGTAGCATGCCTTGCCGCGATTGACAAGGAAAAGTTTGGCCGAGGGCGTTCAGCACGGCTCTGCTCTTCCAAGCAGCCTAATTGGCAAAACCACTCTTCACAGCACACCCTTGTTCCTGACGCAAAATACCAGCAGAATGATGCTCAAGCCGCCAGTCCGCCGAGGAATGATGGAGCTCGACCGGGCTGCCTTCCAGTTGTCGTTTAAGGTGTTTGCGATAGTAGTACCTACAAAATCAATCGGGCAGGCGAAGGTAGAGCTGGCGAGCGACATTCTGAAGCTGGCGAAGCTGCGCAATGTGGTCGACGATGATGCAAAGAGCAAGGACCTGAAGAAGGTGCTGCTGAAGCCAGAGATCACGAGCGACGCGCTAGCTGAGGGCAGTGAGCGGCTGCGAGCGCTGGTCAAAGAGAAGCAGTGGCCGGTGACTACGCACGAGGTGACGGTGGACTACGAGCACTGGACAGCTGATGAGGTTCTGAAGGCAGTGCTGCCAGATCCAACGCAGGCGCCAACGTCGTATGAGCAGGTTGGGCATATTGCGCACATGAACTTGCGCGACGAGTACCTGCCGTACCGGAATCTGATCGGCCAGGTGATTCTGGACAAGTCGCCAGTGATCTCGACAGTGGTCAACAAGCTGGACACGATCGACAACACGTACCGCAACTTCAAGATGGAGGTGATTGCGGGCAAGGACGACTTTATGGCGCAGGTGCGCGAGAACGACTGCGTCTTCAAGTTTGACTTTTCCAAGGTGTACTGGAACTCGCGTCTGCACACTGAGCACGAGCGACTGATCAAGCAGTTTACGCCTGGCGATGCCATCTGCGACGTGATGGCAGGCGTGGGACCGTTCGCAGTGCCGGCGGCCAAGCGCGACTGCCTGGTGTGGGCCAATGACCTGAACCCAGCGTCGTTTGCAGCGATGCAGGAGAATATCCCTCTAAACAAGGTGCAGAAGCGCATGCAAGCGTTCAACATGGACGGTCGTGACTTTATTCGCAGGGCGTTCAAGGATTTCTACGCGGCCACCGAGAAGGGTCCTCTGGAGGTGCCGCAGACCCAGCGGTCCAATGCACCCCGTGGCAAGCCCAAAGAGCCGAAAGAAGCCCGTGGCGCCGCTGCTGACCAAGTCCCGCACATTCGACCATGTGGTGATGAACCTGCCGGCGATTGCAATCGAGTTCCTGGATGCGTTCCGCGGCCTGTTCTGGAGTGTCACTGGCAACGATGAGGGGTCGGCTGACGACCAGGCGGTGCCCATGCCTGTGATCCACGCCCACTGCTTCACAAAGCAGCTAGACGAGCCGGAGCGGGATATCCTGCAGCGCGCTTGCCGTGCCATGGGCTACCCGCAGGACCAGTACAAGGAGCTGGACGCCGACGTTCACTATGTGCGGCGCGTGGCCCCCAACAAGGACATGTACTGCCTGTCGGTGCGCTTACCCAAGAGCGTTGCATACGCAGCAGACAAGTAAGGATCTCGCTGACGACGTGGGCAAAAGAACAACTGGTGTAATACACATGCGCTTGCTACTAACAACACCTGCCTTCCACCGATGTAGCAGGGAGCGAGTCTTCGGCTGTCAAGAGAAAGCCTGAGGAAGGCAGAAGGGCGAGAAGAAGGCGACGCCAAGTGCCGGAAGGCCGAGTAGAACTTATGCTTTGTGACAGCTAATATAACTGAAAGTTGCAAACCAAGATAGAAAGAGTGGCAAGCATGGCTAATGGCCCTGAGACCTCGTGGTGGACTGCGCCTGCTGCTGGTTCTGCAGAGCCTTGGCCTGTGCCAGCATGGCGACGTTGTCGAGCCGTGTCCTGACGCGCTTCAGCACCACGTTAATGGCAGCAATCCGGGCCCTGGAGTCCTTCAAGCGCGCAGCCGCCCGCAGCCCCATGGTAGCTGGCTCCTTGCTGGTTACCGCCTGGTGCAGATCGTCGCCGTTGGCGCCTGGTGGAACCACGAGCTCGTCGAACAATTCGAGCTCACCAGCGATTCTGTCCAGCACCTCGTTCAGCACATCCTGCTTTGACCATACCGACTCGAGCTGCTCGTCTAGCCGTGTGAGCGAGGGCAGGAGCACACGCAGGATTGACGAGGCACTAGGCGTCAGGCTGCCTGGCGCTTCAGAGGGCGTGGTAGATGCCGGGCCTGTGGTTGGAAGCCTGGTTGCGTGGCTGGCGTCGGCGGTGGGTTTGTCGGCCATGGGGGACAGCAAGCAAAAGTGGATGTGTGCAAGGTAGGAGGTGGCAATATATGGACAAGTTCAATGGCATACGCAACAGGAAGGAGGGCAGGCGAAAAGCACCTCTCCATCCAGCTGAATGGGTCGCATGTGATGAGTCGCTAGTATGGTATTGGCGATGACACAGCAGCACTGAATGAAGCGGTCTCAAAATTAATCGGTGATTGGGTTTTAGTATTTTGAAGCAGAGCAGCACAGTTTTAGGCGTTGTCGGCGTTGGCGGCCGCAGTTGAGGCCTCCTCCTCATCGTCGTCGTTCTCGTCAAAGGTGCCGGCAGGCACCGAGTACAGGCGGATCAGCGGCTTGTTCGGGTCACGCATGATGACATAGCGGCCCTCGTCGAGGCCGCGGCACAGGTCCACCAGGGCCTTGACAATACCCCAGGCGTTGTAGACGTTGAGGCTGAGCTGGTTGGCAAAGTCGGCCGGGCGGTAGGACTGGACGCCCAGGATGGCGTGGCGGGTGCGGTCGCGGGGCGTGGCGCGGGTGACAAAGCCAACCTTGACCATATCGGCGTCGGCCAGCACGGCCTGGAACGCCCAGCGCGCAAGCTTGGTCGCGTTGTTCTTCATCTCGGTGGCCACAACGGCTCCGCGCTGCGAGTCGAGCTTCTTGCGCCAGTCAAGGGCACCGCCGGCGCCAGGAGCACGGATGTCATGCTGAGTCAGCGCACGCACAAACAGGCGCTTGTCACCCGGCATGATGCCGTCGATCTCGGTACGCACAGCCATCAGACACGACTCGGTGGGCTCCTCATCCTCCCCAGCAGTCGCGCTGAGGTCGAACACGCGGTAGCGGTAGGCGTTGTCGTCGGGGGTCTCGTCGGCCTCGTTCTCGGCATTGAACGGATTCGGGTTCTCAAAGTCGACCGTGCCCTTGCCAGTCACCTGCTGGATGTAGCTGCGGGTGACGTCGCGGGCCTCGAGCGCCAGCATCGACGCCGAGTTGATGGCTCCCTCGCGGTCGCTCGACTCGGAGGGCGGCTCGGAGGCGTTCTCGTTGACAGTCGGGAAGTCGAGCGGCCCGCCGTCGCGCTTGTCCAGGAACAGCTTGTCGCCAACGCGGTTCACCACCACGTCCCAGGCGCTCGACGACACCATCGACGCCATCAGCGTGGCGATCACCGAATCAGTGGCAAACACCTTGATGTCCTTGTTGCTCGCCGCGAGCTTGGTCAGCACAGGGTCGTCGCTGGCTGTGGCGTTGTAGCGCACCGACGCCGAGTTCTTGAGCGGCCGCTCGATGCGCGTGGTGATGCGGTCGTACACGTGGTCGTAGGTGCCGGCCTTGCCATACAAGCCCAGCTCCTGGATGTTGCTGACGTCAAAGCTCAGGCCCTTCATGCGGTTGAACTCGATGTCCTGCACCAGCTCCCACTCGTCAGTGGGCTTGACGCTGGCATAGCGGTGGCGCTGCCCGCGGTCGTAGTCGCGCCAGCCGAAGCGCTTGCGGTACCCGCTGTTAGCACCGCCAAACTTGCCGCCGTGCTGGAAGCGACCGCCGTGGCCCAGGCGCTGCATACCGCCGCGGCCATGCTCGCCACGACCGCCGCTGCGTCCGCCCTGGATGGCGCTGACAGCAATCTTCTTCATAGCCGTTCCGCGGTTGTCGACCAGCGAGAACGACGCCTCGTCGGTCTCGGCCTGGTACACAAACGCCGAGGCCGAGTTGCTGCCGTACGCCTGCTGGCCCTGGTCGCGCCCGTACTTGCCGCGCTGCCGGCCCTGGTCGCGCTGGTCGCGCGAATCTCCTGGCTGAATCCAATCGGCCGCCCGCGTAACCTTGTCGCCCTTGGAGAACGGAACATATGGCACGCCCTTGAGCTCGCTGGGCGGCTGTGCGTTGGACGGTCCCCAGCCCTTGGGGTTGTCGAATACAGTGGGCAGCTGTGAAGCTCGGCAGATCTGACATTCTCTAGATTACCTCTTTAACGGTCGAGCAGTGCTGGAGAAAAAAGTGTGAATTGAGGGCGAAATAGAAAGGGGCGAAATCTGCTCTCTTTTTCTCCCTCTTCGCACCGCGGTAGCCCTGCCCCATGCAAGGAGCGAATTTTTCCATCGCTTGATTGCACAAAAGTTACCGCCGAGGATTAGATTGTGATCAGTCCCTCGGCTCGTTCATCGCCAACGCGGGGAGGAGTTGGCGCAGGCTCACGCCTCCTGCGTATTGCATCTCGATCTTACGTTTCACGCGCGCTGTGCATATTGGCCTGGCCGCGCCGCACGGCAATATACGCCCATGCTGCAGAGAGATATACATGCCAGGGACGCAGTGGTCTACACTGACCTTGGCGGACGAGGCCAGTATAAGTACGTGCGCTGCTGTGCTGCAACTTTCGGTGGTTTCCGACTCGGTCAACTCCTGCCGCTTACTTCTACCTGTACCTTTTGAATAATGCTTACCTCTGCATTCTACATTCCGATCCTGGGCATACTCCACATCGCAGTGGCAAGCCTGAGCAAAGATGCCGGCCGATGACGATATTGGCAAGCTGCTTGGCATGCGCCCAGACCTCGCCAACGATTTGGCGCCTGTGGATGGCGGCTCGGGCGATGACAGCATCACAGGCGGTGCCGACGCGTTGAAGGGAGTGGCTAACGGTGCAGTGGATGGCGGCAGCAATGCCAGTGCTGACTCGGAGTGCATGGCTGGGTGCAAGGTTACGGACCAGAGCTGCAAGGCACGGTGTCTGGGCGTGCCCGGCGTGGCTGGCCGCAAGATGCCCCGCAAACAGGACATCAACGGAAACCTGCCCCTCAACTGGCGTGTCGCTGCGGATCAGTGGTGCCCAGGATACTCCTATGCCCAAGGCTGCATCGTCGGGGATACCCTGTACTGGGATCTCCCTGACGGCAATGGCAGCCAGCATGGCTCTGTTTTCAGCCCTGCTTTGAGACACTGGCAGTCTGAGTCCAGCACCCATGCGGTGCTGGTTTTTGATCAAGTGCGGGGGCAGCTGGATGAACAAGCCTGTGGTAGGTTTCGGAGCCCTTTTTACAAACGAGACATGGCCAGGCGCCACTACCATCTTTCCTCTTGCCTGCTCACGTCGTAGTAATAAGCTCATCTCAAAATAAACCTGTCCTTTTAATATACCCACACTACCCAAACACCAAAGAATGAGACTAGCTAGGCTGCTTTCACAAGCGACGATACCAATAGCATTGTGTCTCTTGCTGGCACACACGTCATACACAATACCGGCAGCAGCAGCAGCAGCAGCAGTTCGGGGATTTGGCGACCCAGTACAAGGTGAGGGGCTGGCATTAGTAAGCATGTAGCTGTTGTACATGCTCATCACAAGTGCACTCTAACTAAACAGATGTAATGTACAAGTAGCATGCAAAAGTGAGTGCAAGGACAATGCATGCAAAACCAGATGCCTCAACTCCAGCACCTCGCACGAGTCAATCGTTGAGCGCACACAAAAGTGCCAGGAAGACTGCAAAACCAAGCTGGACATCCTGCAACAGGTGTGTGTACGCAAATGCACTTTGTTTCTATCCGACCCGGTTGGCCACGACTTGGACACAACACCGGCCTTTGTGCCTCGGCCAACTGTTGAGGTACATGAGGAGCCGTCAAGCTCAGTGCGATTAATTGGCCCAGATGGGCTACCGATAATTGCTAGCACATCCTCAGCCCCCGCCCAAGCACCTGTGCCAGCACCACCTGTGGAGCGGGTGCTGGGCAACTACGACGACTTTGTACGGTCATATGTTTTGCGACGAAAGCAGCCTGGATGGGATCGCAACATGCAGTATCAGCCGGTACTGGTCGACGGCGCGCGTGCGTTTGCCCCAAGTATCTATGCGAGTCTCTGCTGGTTGCTCCTCGTTTTAATAGCGGCGTTTTCGTAAATCAAATTGCCAGTATTTTAGCTCAGACTGCAATGTTCTGGACTCGCCACCAGAGCAGGGCAACCCACAGAAACACGGACGCATAGTCTCCAAGAGAGCGGCCACGTTCTAAAATTAGCTCCTGTGTCCTTCTGCTAAGGCTGATTCCGGTAATTTTTTCAAGCGGAGCACGGGCGCCGCCAACTTCGAGGCTCCATTTGTCTACTCTGCTCATTACTCTCCCTCTTTTTTATATTTCGACAGCGACATGGCGCTCAATTTTCTTCCGGCATGGAACCGGCGCAAGGTGTTCAAGACACTCGGCTTTCTGCCCGTTATTTTCACCCTCGGCCTGCTGTTTTGGTCGCTGTACGCATATACCGGCTTTGTTCTTCCGCGAATGTACCGAAATGGACGGTTCCTCTGCATTCTGTGGGCACTGCTCTGGCTTACGCTCTGGGTGCTGACCACCTGGAGCTACTTTATCTGCGTGTTCAGGAATCCAGGTAACCCAGTGGGCGTAGTAAGTCGACAGACGGCGTCGCATGGCCAGTATCACCGCATTCCCAACCGTGCAGCAGCAGCAGCAGCAGCAGCAGCAGGTTTTCAGCCTGGCTCCACCAACCGGCAGGCATCATCGACACAGCACCGGCGGTATGCAGACGACGCACACAGCCTCAGCTCGAGCTCGCGCAGCTCGAGTGACATGGAGCGCCAGCTGGAGGAGAGCGACCGCGCCAGCGAATACAGCGACGACAGTAATGGGCAGCTGACCGAGGAGCAGCTGCAGCGGACAGAGCTTGTGTACGCAATCACAGTAAAGGACAACGGGCAGCCGCGGTTCTGCCAAAAGTGCAATGCGCCAAAGCCAGACCGCACGCACCACTGCAGCATCTGCGGCATCTGTGTGCTGAAGATGGACCACCACTGCCCGTGGCTCAACAACTGCGTCGGGTTCCACACACAAAAGGCGTTCCTACTGTTCATCTGCCACGGCACTCTCTATGTATCCAGCGTGTTTGTGACGACAGTGATATACTTTTTGCACGAGTTTGTGGAGATGGACGGCGGCGACGAAGTCAACGTCAACGCCATTGTGCTAATGATTCTGTCGGCTGTGTTCTCGCTGTGTCTGGTCGCCTTTGCCGGCTTCCACATCTACCTTGTGCTGTCGAATCTAACCACGATCGAAAGCTACGAGCGCAACCACTTCAAGGTGCAGCAGCAGCAAGGGCTGCGCCAGGCAAAGTACGTCAATCTGTTTGATGTTGGCGCCAAGAAGAACTTTTACCAGGTATTTGGCTCTACCTGGTACTGGTGGTTCGCTCCTGTCACCACGACCATGGGCGACGGTGTGCGCTTCCCGATCAACTACGAGAGCTACAACGAGCTCCACCACGGCGCTTGAGCCCTGGGCCTGCGTTTTACATTTCACATCATGCCTGTACAAAACCCCATCCTTCCAAGTGAGACCAGCGGTCAAATACATAAAGTTCCAAATCCAACTCTACCTCCCCCACTGGCCGGTGATGCATAGATCTATTATTGCACCCAAAGATGCCGCTTACGACTCTATGTCAGTATCCGCCGCGCTCGTTGATCATGGCCAGCTTCTCGTTGTTGACCCAGCTCAGATATGAGTCCCAGAACATATCAAAGCAGCTCCCGAACGGTACGCGGTAGATCAGCGGCACAAACGCAAAGTTGACGGACTGAATGATCGGTGATATGGTCAGCCCTGTCAGATACGTCGGCCACAGCAGCGTACTGATGCGGAATTTAGCATCGTCGAGCCCACCGCCCTCGAGCAGCGCCATCGACCCAAAGAACAAAAAGTACATGCTGGGCTCATACAGAGCCACGTCGAACACCAGCCGCTTGCCGACCTGCCGTGCCGCCTGGGCGCGCTCTGTTTTCCGCTTCGCCCTGGCCGCCTTGGCCGCAGCTCCCTGGGCGCCCCCCTGGCCCACACCGCTGCTACTACTGCCTGCTGCGCTGGCCTGTTTTCGCCGTGTGCGGAACCATGTCGTCTGCGTGCGGATCGGGAACCGCCTATCTAGAAACCGATGCCATTTAACGCCAATCGGCGATACGCAGGTGGCAAACAGCACAAACCGGGCAGTCCGCGCAAAGTCGTACTTGCGCTGCGGCCGCTCCTTGTCGTCCATGCGATCCGTGCTGTCGCCCTTGAAGTCTATGTGCATAGCAATTGTCTGCGCGAGCAGGTCGCCGCACGCCGAGAGGCAGGCTTCGGTTGCAGCAACTGTGACAAACGGGCGCGCCTCTGCCTGGCGTGTCCAGAATCTAAAGAATGCGGCCATGCGCTGGTAAGAAACAAAAAGATTTATGGAAAAAAAAAAGCAGGGAGTGAAGAGGTTGAATTGAGGAAGGCACAAGAGCAGTGAAGCCAGGGTGTCTGTGAAGGAGGCTCTGCTGGGACGGCTATAAAAAAAAGGCCCTGCCAAGACCTGCGCTTTTAGCTCTGCCGGCGGTTTCGTAAGACACCTGCCCGCAATAGGAATCCAAGCTCAGGATTACGGGCTGCGGCTGCGGCGGTTACTTCAAAGCCCCACTTTGGCCTGGCGCCATTGCCCGTTGGTCTATATGATATCCAGGCGCTCAGCCTCGCCGTCGTACTTGGCGTGGTACCTGGTCCACAGATCAGTCAGGGCCTCGAGGTACTGCGCATGGTAGCGGTCGATGTCCTGGCCAGTCGGCGCCTTGGTCTGGTCCACCGCAATCGGCTCGCCAGCCACAAACGTGATCGGGGTCTTGAAGGGCGTGAAGCCGTTTTTGCCGTAGAACGCAGGCACGGCAAAATGTGCGTAGCGCTGGAAGAGCCGCTGCACTCTGTACAGCAGCGAGCCCGGCGGATTGGCCATCTGCTTATAGATCTTGTTCTCGTTGAACACAAACACAGGCACCAGATCGGCTCCAGCCAGCAGCGCCTCGCGCACAAACCCCTTGCGGTTGCGAAGCACCAGCGTTGTGACCTTGGTGTCTGTGCGCAGGCTCTCCTGGGCACCACCGATGATGATGCCAGGCATATGGCCGCCGCCACGCGCCAGGCACTTGCGGATGCTGTCCCTGGACGACGAAATGGCGCCCATGCTCAGCAGATACTCGCCGAAGAACGGTATACGCAGCGTGATCGGCAGCACCGCCGGATGCACAGTGATGCCAGGGTACGCCCGGTCAAACCCGACCTTCTTGGCACCCGCAACCACCTTGCGAACCATATGACAGAATGCCGTGCGGGTGGACACACATGATGTATCTTTTACCAGGATCCAACGTGGCCTCCGACACGATGCGCGGCTCAAAGTAGTCGACCAGGTAGTCCCACACTCGCAGCACCCGGATCCACTCGCGTCGCCGGCCGATGCCGTCCTCGACACCCGGGTCCACGACACAGAACGCGCCGTACATGAGCAGCACCGGCCAGAGCCACGGGGCGACTGCGTACAGCAAGAGGTAGAACAATGGGCAGACCACTATGCTCATGCCAAATAGAGTTACGACGACTGTTTGGAGCCAGCGCTTGGTACCTGGACCCAGCTCCTCGGGGGTGATTTCTCTGGCAGCTTTGCCCATTCTTTCTTCTTCTGTTGAAACTAAAAAGTGCTGAAGAAGGATGTGGTGCTCAGAGCATCGGCGTGTGGTGGTGGGGTGGTACGGGCCCGCCAAAGCATATGCTTGGAGTGTGAAATCCCAAAGCGCACCAGTCGGCTAAAGCACAAAAATCGGCCATGCCTCCAGCGGCCCGCCGAGCCGAGCCGAAGGCAAGCCGGAAAATATCGGAGATTTTGCGTGTTTCGGCTGCCCCGAGCCCACTCGCACCCTTTTTATCGCAAGATAGCAGTCGCGCAATCTACAGATATCGCTGCTGTTGGCTTTCGTCTCTGTGCTCTTCAATTTCAGTCCCGCAGCTCTATTGCCTCCATTTGTCTTTTAATTCGCAACAATGTTCTCCGCAATCACCAGAACCGGCGCCTTCTCTGCTGCTCGCCTGCCTTTCAACCGTGCTGTCGCCGCCCGCAGTGCTCGGTAAGTCGCTGTCCTATTGTTTTGCTGCTGCCACTCTCAGCAACTTGCTGTTCCGACAGACCTAAAGCCGCACCCAGTATGCTCTTCCCGACTCTGTGTAGTGCATTCATTGCCACGCCCATGCGCCGTAACGAGGAACCGCAGTCGGTGGTCGCCGCGCGCGCCAAGCAGCACCGCCCCATCTCGCCGCACCTGAACATCTACCAGCCCCAGATGACCTGGGTCCTGTCAGGCCTGAACCGCCTCACTGCGATCTCCGTTGGCGGCAGTGCGATGCTGTACTCTGCTGCATTCGGCCTTGCGCCGGCCCTGGGCATGGATCTCAGCTCGGCCGCTGTGGCCAGCACCCTGGCAAGCTACCCTGCGCTCCTGCTGGTTGCCAAGGCGGCCATTTCGAGCTGCTTCTCCTTCCACATCTTTAGCGGTTTCCGCCACCTGGTAAGTAGCACGCACAGTGCCGACGCTGTCCACGACTGGCAGGCCGAAACATACATTGGGAACCAGCAGCACATGTGTTGGCTAACCACATACGCGCTCATATCTTGTCTTGTAGCTCTGGGACACTGGTCGGGAGCTCACCAACCAGGGTGTCATCAAAACCGGCTATGCGACCATTGCTGCAACCGCTGTGGCCACCATCTACCTCACCTTCTTTTAAGTAGAATACATGTATGTTTTTGGCATGCTCCCCCCGCCGCTGCTACCAGTAACTCTGGTTCATGTTACCACTTGGCTATGCCCCTCCCTGCCCACACATGTGGATGAGACGCGCTTATCTGCCTCCCACCTGCCTGGAGAGCCATGAGCGCAGTGGCCGTCCGCCTCTGCGTTCGCTTGGCATGCCGATCCTTGCACAGGCTGTTTTTGCGTCGCTTCTGTGCAGCTGGGGCAAGGATCGATGTGCAGTCGCTTAAAGAGACAGGTGGACAATCCTGCCACTGACAAAAACAGAATGTAGTTGAGTGAAAAATTGGCAGCTGGATGCTTGGTCTGTGGTCTTGCTTCATGGACCGCGCAAACCGCTGGTATCGCCAGAGATGCGGACCGGCTTCGATTTCTCCTTTGCTCCCTTTCTAACGCTCCCCTTTATTCCGCTCTCTTCCTTTTCTACATCCTTCCTTTTAGCGTGTTTGTCGACCAAGCACCGGCAAGCGAGCGCAGAATAGGAGCACCGTAAGTATGGACGTGCCTGTTCAATGGCTGCCGCCCATGTACCGTCTCCCGTGCCAGCAGGCGGCTGCAACGCGCGGCTGCTATTCTCAGCCCTTTTTGGAGATCCGCTCCGTACCGCTGACTTGCTATATGCGCCTTTGTAGGTCTCGCGGCATTACGAATCTATTGCGGCTAGATACCCGCTCTCTCCCTACCGTTTATTCTTATCCCATCTCGCTATTCCTTCTCTCCTTTCTATTCTCGCACCCTTTCCTATTTTTACGAACATCCACGCATATTACCCACTGTCAAACACAGCTCGCTGGCCGGACTGTCTCACACTCTTTGACTACTCTACACCTTGACGATGAACTTGAGCGGGCTCTCGTATCTCCAGTTTCTCTTGGTCGACGCCTTCGTCACCCTCTATCTGTTTTGGCGCATCCATGAGACTGGCTCATGGTCTGCCATCAACCCGCTCTCTGCGTCGCGCGTAAAGCGGCAGGAAGCGCATCGAGTCTGCTGCGCGCATGCTCGCCTACTACTTTTGTCTAATAGCAATGGCGCTGTTCATGGGACGCGACGGCATCATGGCCGCGCAGGAACTGCAGGACGTGGAATCTGTGTCGCGCATCGGTCTATCTGGGCCAGCAGGTGGCGCCGCTCGACGTTTCCACAGCAGCCAGGCATTCGCCAGGGCCTCCGGCTGTGGACATTTGGCATGGCCTTTCTGTTCCTGGCGCTCGGGCTAGTAATGTTGAACTGGTCGTCGCACAGCGTGAAGCAGGTTCTCGGCGACAACTCGCCGCTCGGTGATGTGCCTGGCAAGGCGCTGGCTGGTTTCGGTCTTGCCTCGTTTATTTTCACTATTGTGGCCCACTTTGTTGCGTACGGGAAGGAGGAATGACATGGCCCGCGCCCGCAGCAACGCGCGCCTGGCCATCTCGTGTTTCATGCTTGTCTTCCTTGGAGCGATGATCTGGGTGCTGCTGCGCGTGCATCGGATCATCCAGCAGACACGGAGGGGTGGTCCGGCCATCACAGCGGCTACAGGTCGCCGCCACTGATCGCCCACAGTACCGCCAGACACCGCTACTGAATGTTATCTATCTGCTTGAAGTGCAGACACTCGACTATATGAAGCACTCTGGCATTTTGCTGGCGCTCTCAATGTTTGCCTTTGTCCTGATGTTCATGGCGTTCGACATCAGCTACTTGACTCCTGGGCAGACTGTCCAACGGAGGCTAGCTGGTGGCAACACCACCACCGGCATTGGCACCCTGATAACCGCTGTCATTGCCATGTTGATAGTTCAGATTCTAGTTCCCTCAGGCGCCAAAGAATTGTCACCAGCATGCTCGAGAAGGTCGAGACGATGGACTCGAAGAACCGCGCGACGTTCCTTGGCAACTCGCGACCAGCCACAGCCAAAAAATCCATTCGGCCTGGTCAGCAACTTTTCGTCGTGCGATCCGCTTCAGCCGCCGCAACCTCCCCAGTCAAAGTCTCGCTCCCGCATGCACAGCAACGTCAGCGAGGCCAAAGCGCCACTGGTGCAGTCGGCCGCAATGGACCAGTCCGACGTCGACAGCACTGGCAACTATCTCAAACACATACCCTACATCGATCGCATGACCCGCGAGAACTCGTTCTTTGGCCAGGGTCCGTGGTCTGCGCAGATCGCGCAGTCAAACCACGAATCATCACATACGAGCAGCGTCGTCATCCCTGGCACTCCACAGCAGCTCGAGCAGCTGGTTCGCTCCAACACAGGCTCAAACATTGTGTCTGCCGAGGCTCGCCAGGATATGATGCGCCAGTCAGTGCTGAACAACTCATCCGCCCTGTTCAGTGAGTCCGAGGCCAGCGGCTCACGCTACGGTTACCCGCATCCCAACAACAGCAGCCTCGTTCAATCTAGTGTAAATGAGTCCGGAATGGTCTATCCACCGAGCGTCCTGCCCCCGAGTGCCAACCTTGTGCTCAAGAGCATGTCGACCACAAACTCTGGCCACCCGAGCACATATGACAGCAACCCGTCAGTGCGCTCGAACCAGCTGCCGCCCACCATAGGGCAGCGCCAGATATCAGCGCAAAACGGGCAGCTGCCGATGTTCCCGTACTCGTCTGCTGCTGCCGCGTACACGAACGATGGGTTCAGCATCACGGCTCACCGCGACAGCAATCCACACCTGCCCAGTGACTCAGAGCAGACTGTCATCACTACAGCCGTGCTGAGGCCGCCTTTATCCAAGAGGGACTCGCAGCTGTCGGCCCTTGTGCTCACGCAAAAGCACCAACCCCCTGTATCCACCAAGCACCGCCAGCTCTGATCGGGTGTCATCGTTTGCTCCCGAGACCTACCAGTACGATCCGATAACTGCTGGAGAGGGTGCACATAGCAGCGAGACTACCAATCCCTTCAGCACTCTCCCTCGCCCGGAGAGCAAGAGCAGCGAGCGGCCAGCATCTGGCCAGATTAGCACCGCTGCCGCCCTGTCATTGACGAGTGTTCAGGTGGATTCTGGACATGGGACCTGCCCAGATTAGCACGGCGGTTGTGAGCGACATGTCCGTAGCGAACCCCTCGCCGTCGCCGCCGCTGATCCCAATCAAATCGTCGCCGAGCAAGGGTCCTGTGCTCATTCGCAAGGGCTCGAGAGCATCTGCTCGCCGCAAGAACACGCTCGACCGCAGCGGCAGTTTTAAGCGTCACAACCGCAGCCAGTCCAACTCCACATCAACTACCGACAACTCGCATGATGGCGTGTTCCAACAAGAGCGGCGACATGAATGTGATACTGACCAACAACACGCTGCTTGAAGCCGACGATGAGCATACCGGATGTGCATGGCGGTAAGAAGAGACTGCGCAATCAGCACATGAGTGTGTTTGCCGGCGGTCCAAAGCTACGACTCTGACAAGCGCGACTCTTCTACTGTTGGCCGGATGGGGTGGAATGGCCGCCCTTCCACTGCGGACATCAGATAGACCCGATGGCCCGCCTCCACCCCCAAAGTGCTCCACGGTTCCCTGCTCGCAGCAGCGTCACGAGCGTCGACCAGGCGGACAGCACACGGTCGCTCTATATGCAATCGCTGACAAGCATGCAAATGAACCGGAACTCGGATCTATTCTCTAGCATCGGATCTATGCACACTGGCGCGACGTCGGATGCCTTCTTCACGCCTGACTCTAGCATGGCCCAGATCAACATCATGGACGGTCCGTCAATTGCGCGCATCCTCTCAAACACCAGCCAGTACAGCACACTGAGTTCAGGACGAGGTCTTCGAGCCTGCTGCTTCTCACCTTGACTTGCCTGAGAACGGCAGTCATGCTAAACCCACCGCTAGCGCCGCCCAATGCCAGGCTGCCCACCATTGATGAGCGTCCATATTCAGCGCCTTCGAAGCAGGCGGACGACAGCAAGGACATTATCCATGGCGAGATCATCACAACGTCGCTGCGTAGGGCCGAGACCTTACGAAAGGCCGTTGCCACCGACGTGTCAGCCATTGATGTGAGCGGCACTTCTGGCTCCACAGCGCCTAGCGAGCCAGTCGGGTCAGTCGGGGATCTGATCTCTGCCATGCCCGTACCATCCGCTGTAACGAGCCCAACCACTACACAGGGCCGAGCTCTTTTGTGAGAGCTGTCATTGCCAGCCCAATCCATGTCCCCTTCTCATGCCATTTGTTTCAAATACAAAACCGATCTTTAGCCGCTTGCTGCGCGAGGTTTGGCATACTTTTATTTGGATCCTTTACTGACATCTCCGGTTACGCCTTCTCCTCACCGCAAGTCATCGATAACAATGCGCTCCGAGGTGCGGCCGTTCGCCGAGCCCTTGGCCTCGATCGCCTTGACAACATCCATGCCCTCGGTGACCTTGCCGAACACAACATGGTGGCCGTCAAGCCACGCGGTGGTCTCGGTAGTGATAAAGAACTGCGAGCCGTTGGTGTTGGGGCCGGCGTTGGCCATCGACAGAATGCCGGGGCCGGTGTGCTGCAGCTTGAAGTTCTCGTCGGCGAACTTGTTGCCGTAGATCGACTTGCCGCCGGTGCCGTTGTGGTTGGTGAAGTCACCGCCCTGCAGCATGAACTGGGGGATGACGCGGTGGAACGTGCAGCCCTTGTAGCCAAAGCCCTTCTCGCCCGTGCACAGCGCGCGGAAGTTCTCGGCCGTCTTGGGCACGACGTCCGAACGCAGCTCCATGACGATCTTGCCAAGCGGCTTGGAGGCAGCCGAGACCTTGAAGAACACGCGCGGAAGAGTCATTTTCTATGAAATCTGAGTGAATTGAGGTACGCTGGGAAGTGAAAGATAAAGAAAGGCAGAGGACTACGTTTTCGTAAGCCGATATTTTGCTGTCTGATGGCTGATCTCCAAAATCTACGCATTTTTTCGCATCAATTTGGTTCTTCCCCCACTCCAGCAAGGCTAGAAATCGCGGTGTCCACGTGACAAGACGCCAGCTGATGAGATCAGGGATGCGAGCCGACGGTGCAGACCCGGCTTGCACGGTGCTAGGATATGCGGTGAAATCAAGTGTCGCCAACAAAAGCGCGAAACGACATCCAGGATACCACTGCTATCTCCAATATCAGTGTATCTACATGGTGGCCTACATTGCATATAAACTAGGCGCGATATCTGAGGACATGCCAGCACACTGCAGCTATCCAATTGTCTGGGAGACTATAGTATCCCAGGCAAGTATTTAAACTGCCATGTACGCAAGATGCACAATGTCGATGGCAACAAGCTATATGATAGCCATAACTGGGGCGTTTTTGTGGAAATGAAGTGATCCTTGTGCTTTGCCGTGGCCCAACAAAAAATTACTGCTCTACCCCTGCACATCCTGACAAAAAATAACAACACATACTACCTACGACCATGGCGGCAGTCAGCAGTGGAATCGACTACACACAGTTCCCGGCGGAGCTTCAAACGACGATCCAGAAATACGAGGACTTTATCAACAACAAGCTGCAGCCCAGATCTGCAGCAGGAATTGGAGGTGCGCGACACCGTCTACAACCGCATATCCGAATATCTGAAACTGAAGACGCACATCCAGACAATACGAGACAACGGGCTCGAGGAGCTCGATACCAAGGTTGACCTGGGATCCAACTTTTATGCGAAGGCGCATGTGTAAGTGTCTCCATAGACCAATGCCCCCACAAATAGCTGTGGGTGACAGCAGGCACCCGTTGGCAGCGGTAGCTAACGAACAGGAAGACACATGGTGTTGCATATTCTCGCAGTATAGGCCTGACACATCACACATCTATGTCAATGTGGGATTTGGATTCCACTTGCAAATGACACTGGCTGAGGCAGACTCATTCATCGACGAGAAGGTCAAGCATATGGAAAAGTAAGTGCTGAACACTGGTAATGGAGTAGTGGCACTGACTGGACCGCCATTGCAATAGAAACACAAAAATATTGCTAACGCAAAGTTCTGGCCAACATAGGCTTGCCGACAAGCATACAGAGGAAGCCAACTCGATCCGGGCAAAGATTAAGATGGTCTACGGGGCACTGATGCAAGCGATGAACCTCACTGACCAGTAGGGCGGGAATGGGCATCTGCCAGCCGTGCTTTATATGACATAGTGCTCCAAAATAAATGCATGCGACACTCCCGAGTTTATTCGGCGTCACTAGCCAGCAGCTTCGTTTGCAGACCACCTACAGCGGAATTGGTGGGACCGGCTGCCTCGCCCTTGACAGAGTCGGCCACAGCAGCGCGTACACCGCGCGGGCGAGCCAGCTCCTCGCCTTCAGTATCATCGCCATGTCCCCCATTTTGATCGATCGACCTCCTCACCATACGAAACAAACAGCTCCTCGCCCTTCTTGATATTGCGTGTCGTTAGGCATATGATCTGGTTGACTTTGACACCCTCGAGGAAGGCAATATTGAACTTTTGGCCCTCGCGGTCCTCGTTCATGAAGTGGAATGGACAGTACAGGCGGCCGCCAGGGTCCGCATATGGCATGCCGTTGGTGTCGGTGGCATCGAGCACCGTTTTCCGGTACATGATTGAGTAGTGCGATGCCATGCCAACAGTGTCCTTCAGCGAATCGTACTCGTCTTCGGTCATAGGGACGCCGAAATAGAAGCCTAGGGGGATCCCGCCAGGCAGGTCACGCACAGCGAATAGACCGTTGCCGGCGTGCGGTATCGTCGAGGGCTTAACCTCGACGATATCTTGCCAGGTGCGCGGAATGTCGCCAGAGATAGTGGCTGGTGCCTCGAGTGCCGGCGCCCCAGGGCTAGGCTGCTGGTCCTCAGCTATCACGCTTGGCGTGTCAGCATCAGTGGCTATTGGCGGGTCTACCACGGTGCTGCCATTTGAGATAGCTCCGCGTTGCATTCCAGGTAGATACAATGCAATTCGAGCCGCCACCCGCTGCCTCACTCTGCTTGCTTGGATCTGCAGCACTCGCGTCACAGCTTTCAACCGGCACAGGCAGGTCCGGACCAAAGCATACGGGCCAGTCCTTCTCGACCAGCACCTGCATCCACGCCTCGTATTCCTTCAATGCGCTCTCAAAGTCGCCAGGCAGGTATGCCAGCTTGAAATGGTAGCTGCGCGCGCCCTCTGGCCGGAACTGCACAAAATGCTTGTCCCAGTTGTTGGTCAACACAGCACTGGCGCTGTTCAGCGGCGTCCTGCCGGTAAACGCCCTTGGTAGGCCTCGCTCCTTGCTAATCTTCTCGTCCAGCTCTACTGCGCGCTTCACCAGGTCCCCACGGCTAGCTGTGTACCCTGGTGACTGCCGCAGAGCGAGGAATATCAGATACACCTGGTTATACCAGCGCGGACGCACGGCTGCTTTTTTCTTCTCTGGCTTCTGCTCCTCTGCACCCAGCTGTTTCCCTGCCGTCTGTTTGGGAGCCCGTGGAGCGCGCCGGCGGCGCTTGCGGCGCTGGGGACCGTCAGTGTCTATAATGAACTCGTCCAGCATTTCGAGCACTTCATAGCCAGTCAATGCGTTGTCAAGATAGCGCGGGCAGTGGTGGCGGGTGGATCGCCGCTTCCCAGTTTCTGTTGACGCGCTGGAGCTGCTGGCAGTCTCGGAGAGGGTAGGCGGTGTGGGTACATTAGAAATGTAAGACGCATTAGGCGAGGGCATGGTGTCAGGGTCGTGCATTGGAGAAAAAGTGAAAACAAAAAGCTGTACAGATGAAAAAGCAGTGGGGAACAGGAAAAAAAATTATCGATTTTGATGGTCCTTCCGATTCGCTTGGCCTGCTTGTGATCTTGGATCTTACCAAGCAGCACATTGAGCCGTCACCATGCGAATGTGCTGGATAACCTGTTACCATGCAATACGCCTTACATCACCAGTGTGTCGATGACAAGACACTAAAAAGCGCTGCTGGACACAATTTCTTAGGTCGCGCTATAATTTTTTTGCTCAAATTCTACAGTTGAAAACCGCTATGGAAGCAGCAATGCCACTAGCTCAGCATCCGAGAGATGGATGTTTTGTTCGGTCCAGTGTCTGATGACTGCGTGGGAGCGGGTGGCATGTGCTGGGCACTCTCCGACGGCTGGTTGTGGTGGTAGCACTGTTGCTGCTGAGGGTACGGCTCACGGTACTCCGTGCTGCGGATACTGCGGGTGCTGTGTATACTGGGGCTGCTGCTGGTGTTGCGACGGAGGCGGGGGTGGGTGTGGGTAGTGCTGCTGTGGCTGCAGGTGGATACCCCTGCTGGTACCCTTGCTGGTATCCCTGCTGGTAGTAATTCTGCGGGCGGTGTGGAGCCTGGTGGTGCTGAGGCGGCGGCGGTTGGACGTAGTGCGGCGGCGGCGGCTGGTGTTGCTGCCAGGATCCCTGCTGGGGGTGGTGTCCAAGATGACCGCTATGCATGGGTGGCGGGGGCGGAGCGGAGTACCCTTGTTGGTAGGAACTGGGGCCGGATGGAGGCGGCGGTGGTTGCTGCTGGTGATGTTGCTGGTGATGCTGTTGGTGATGTTGCTGGTGATGCTGCTGGTGATGCTGCGGGTGTGGTGGCATTATCGAAGTCGGCGAATGGCCGCTGTGCGAGTAGTGGGACATGGGTGGCCCCGAAACAGCACCAGCATTTGTGCTAGGCTGCCATGGGATTGCCGGGGGTGATAGTATTGACCATGCCGGAAGTGGTGGCGGCTGCTTCAGATGCGCGCTTTTTATTCAGCTTTGCATAATCTATATGCATGAGGGGCGAAATGTGCTGAGGCAAGAATCAGTAATACATACGTGTCCGAATCGGGATATCAACTCCTCGCGATAAGGGAGTGCGTAGGGGGTTTCAGGGACAGCAAAAGCCGAGGAGGGCCGAGCATCCCTGCCAGAAAGCAGCTTTGAGGGACACGCCCAATATAAACAGGTGTGTGTGGAAGCCCGCTATGCAGCCTTGCATGTGAATCCCTCAAAGAGAAAATGTTCGCGGCTGAAATAGCGAAAATGAGCCAAGCGCGAACAAATACAAGTGTGGGCAAAAGGGGGACTTTGCGAGAAGAGTCGAGAAAGAATGATGCAGATCCCCAGTGTAGTGCATATTGCATGCATCATGTATAGGCGGCATTCCCGGGGAAACCCCTCGCTTGAATTCAAAGCCCGTCCGAAAATAAGTATACTTACGGAGTCCGCATGCATTGCACAAAGTCCTAGCACCATCGGGTCCGCGTCTCCACTCGGGCGTCTCCGAGATGCCACATGAGCGGCAGGAGTTTGGCTGGGCGGCATCGGTGCGCTTCTACAATGGATGTATGAACGGGTGAATGCGTGTGTGTGCGTGTGTGAATGGAATAAATCGTCAGTAGAATGAACAATGGAGGCTGGGGCGTCCACTGGCAACAGGGCGCCAAATGTAGCGGAGAAAAGAAAAGAGGCATAAGGCGGATGCTCTTCGAGATACACGGCTTGGTTCATCCAAGTCCGGCAGGAGTAATAAGCAGAATATTAAGAGGCGCGCAAATGTACTGGAGGATATGGAGCATAGGGTGAATGGAGGCATTCACATGTGTGCCTATGTCTTCATACTGACACAGGCGATGGAGAATAATATACAACCCAATTCCCTGGCCAGCACTTGCAAATGACATATCAGCCCAAAAGGAAAACAACTAACAATAACAACAAACAAAGCGCGAGGCGCGCTACTTACAGAGCGCTTGCGGGTCTTTGACCGTGCAGGTGAAAGCACAGTGCGACGTTTGCGAATATACTCCATGGTATCATCATCAACACTCGTTGACATGCGCTCGCGGCGAATTGTCATGAAGACCATCAAAACCTCGTACGCCTTGCGCGCCATGTCGATAACCAGATCGTCAGACGGCTGGGCGTTGAACTTGTTGCGCTCGGGGCCGTACTGGCTAGCAAACTGCGCCAGCACGTTGCACTTGTCCGTGACGTCCTGAAGCTCGCCCTTGTATTTGGTCAGAATTCCCATGGGCTTGTCGCTGTTAGCCGATTCCGCCGATGCTGAGCGCGAGGGCTTGGTTTCCCCATTGGGTGTGTGAACAGCGACTAGATCCGCTTGTGGAGCGGGTGGCTTGGGGCCCTGGAGTCGCCAGCTGGTGTCGATGGGGTTGCATGTGCACCACCAGAGACCTGCTCTGGCTGCTGGCCAAGCCTCGACATGCCTGGCGGAGCCAGATCCGCGGCAGCGCCCGGCGGTTGGCCGTGGGCAGTCACTGTTGCGGTGCAGGCTGCTATTGTTGTGGTGGAGGTTGTGGTGGCGGCAGGGGCCTCCGCTATGGACGATGCAGCCCCTGTGCCTAGCGATATGCGGATGGTTTCCAGCTCACGAATCGTGGGCAGCACCATTGGCGGCTGGTCAGAGCCAGCCGGCGAGCTACAGGATTTTAATAACAAAGAGGGGAATGAGCTTTGCGTCCTGAAGTACTGAGCACAAGAATTCAGGCTCAATTGGTCCGGTTCTCCAGGACACCCCACCCGCCGCTATTGGAAGGCCGAGATACTCCTCAGCCCGCAAACAAAAAGGCCAACGACTGTACCTTGCAGTCACTGGGCCCAGCTCATGCGGGGCCTTGTTTGAACCTGGTCCGCACACAAGGTTCAGGTCCATTTGTGTTGCTGCGGGATGTGTATGAAGAATGCGCGGGCGAAAATGTACTTTCGAAAAATAAAAAGCAGTAAAAGTGCTGAAAAATATTGGCTGGAAGGGCAAAAGACGGAACGAGAAAGAAGGAGCAAAAAAAGGAAAAGCGAGTGCACCTCATCGAGATTTTCCAGATCGTAATAGCCGATGTGAGATTGCACCTGGTACACAGAGATTGACCTCTGCCCGCACCAATAGCACGAGCGCTGCCTGCTATTTCGCGCCTGCTACTTCGCGCCTGCTGCACTGGCGCATATTGGACCACCATAGCCACTCTGCAATATGCCTTTTCGGTGCTCTCCCTGGTGGAGCAACCCCGACATGACGTCGAGAGCTGGCCAACAAGAGGCCAGGCAATTCTGCCAATATATATTTCCCACTTGCTATCTCGTCCATTGCTCTTGAACGGGGCATTGTCGGCCTGTGTGTCGTATATCACCAATGAATCGGCCACCTTGTCCTCGACAACAACATCCATGTGCTGACCTTCCCAAGCCTCCAGCCCCTCCTCGGCGCTTCCCATCATCTCCAATTCCTGCTTGGTTGTGCGTCTCCGAGTGCTCTCAAACACCACCTGCAGCGCCTGGCTCGCGTACTTGTCGACGTTCTGCTGGTCGTGGAAGAAGTTCCAGATCTTGAGCGGCACGCTGCCCCAGCCGGTCAGGTTCATGTGCGAGATGTAGGCCGCCGCTGGCAGCTCCGCCATCGGCTCTTGCTTGACATACTCGTCGTATCTGACAAAGACAGGCGCAGGTTCCGGCGGTGACACCGGGGTGGGAGCGATGTCACTAGTGGCGACAATGGCGCCCGCTGTGTCTGTCACCTGCACAGCCTCGCTGCCCTCGCCTTGTACGACAGGTGTAGTATCGATGCGGCGCTCCTCAGCGGACCTGCACTGCCTCCTGCTCCTCGGCCTTGACCTTGACCAGCGGCGGCACAGTGCGGTTGAGCGACCCGACAGCGCCCTCGCTGATGCCATTGACTACCTCCACCCACGTCTCTCGGCCAATGGCCACCACATCCATGATTCCTGGATACGGTTCCGGCTTCCACTTGCCCAGCTCCGGCAGGGCCTCTCCCGGATTCTCGCCGCGCCTATTCCTTGCGTCCCTCTGCTTGTTCTCCTTGGTCCGCTCGTCGATCGTCTCCCGCCACATTCTCAGCACGCCCGTCTCGTCGGTCTCCTCCAGATGCTTGCGGCGTCTCTCCTTGATCTCCTCAGCGATCCGCGAATGCACTCCTCCACGCACCACCTTCTCAATGTCATCAACAGTCTCAGTATCGTTCACCAGAGTCAGCTCGTAGTCCAGCGCCCCGGCCACAAAGACCGGCAGAATGTACTCTTCAAAGTGCATCCGCGCCTTGCGTGTGCCCAGCTCGCCCATGGGTGCTGCAATATAGACGTGCACCTTGCGGGGCGTCTCCAGCGCCCCGATCGGCTCGTTGGCGACGTGTGCGGCCCGGGCGCAGTAGTAGTCCAGGCGCCGCTTGCTCTCCTTCTTGTTGTACTGGTGGAAGCCAACGAGCCCGAGCACGCCGCCCCAGAACAGCAGCGTGTTGCGCGACGGCACCTTTTTCTTGACGCTGGCGATGAATGCGCTCATTATAAACCCCGGGCTTGCTGAAAATGTAATTCTGGAACCAAGCTGCTTGCAAAAGCTGCGCCTGAATTTTTTTAGCAAGAAAAGATAAACCAGGCTGATCGTGGCATATTTGCCAAGAAAGCATGCTTGATCTGAATTCCAGCGGATCAGCAGCCTACTTCTTGGACTTTGTCTTGTTCGCCTTCTCTTTGCGCTTCTTGACTGCCTTGGGCATCTTGGTCTTGCGCTTCTCGCGCTTCGCCTCCTTGGCCGCCTGCTTGCGCTCACGCTTGGCGTCCTTGTCCTCATGCTTTTTGCCCTTTAGGTGCGGCTCGTCATCAGACTCGCTGTCGTTGTCGTCGTCGTCGTCATCATCATCGTCATTATCATCATCGTCGTCGTGGTCACCATCGCCGTCCTTTTGCCCCTCGCCATCATCCGCTTTTTGGCCCGTCTTTTCCTTCTGCGCAGGAGCATCCTCAACAGCATCCTTCGCCACATCGTCGGCTGTGGCCGTGCCAGGTGCCTCTTCCATTTCGGGCTGCGTCTCGGTGTTGGTCGACGACAGATTCAGGCCAACGAGCTTGGAATAGATCAGATCCTCCTGTCCGCCGGCATTGATCTTGTGCACATCACGCACATAGTCCACAACCTCCTCCAGCGTGCGCGGGATATACGACTGCCTAAACACCTCGTCGTCGGCTCTGAGCTTGGCCAGCTCCTCATCGGGGATCTCAGCCATCTCGCTCTGGATCCGATCCAGCTCTGCATCAATCTCCTCGTTTGTGTTGCCGGTAGCCTGGTCAGTAATGAACTCAAACAGCCGGCGCAGCGACATGGTACGCACATTGCCGCGCTTGCGGAAGAACTCGGTCACGTTGTTGCAGTCGTGCCGCAAAAAGTCCAGAGCGTACGGATGGTCGTGCTCGACGGACTGCGAGACATCAATGATATAGAGCTGCTTTGCGTGGTACAGGATGTTGTACTCGCTCAGATCGGCATGCACGAGCTTGCACACATGGTACATGATGCGCATGTCGCGCACCAGCTGCAGGTAGAGCATCGGGAACCGCGACTGCGGGATCTTGGCGTCCTTGAGGCGCGGGTACGCCCAGCCCTCAGCTGAGCCCAAAAAGTCCATAACCAGCACGTGCTGCCGGAGCACGATCGGGTTCGGCGACGGGATCCCGGCGTTGTGCAGCCGCTTCAGATTGCGCATCTCCTTCTCTGCCCACACCTTGACCATCTTGCGCGGGTTGTGTCTCGAATAGCCGTGCCGGAACCGGTACTCGCCCGACACATAGCGGTCGCGGTCCTTGAAGATCAGAATCGACGTCTTGTAGATTTTGATTGCACGGTGCTCGCCCGACTCGGTTACCGCGTGGTACACGTTGGCCTCCTTTCCCGTACTGATGCACCCGTTGATCTCGTAGATCACGCCCTGGTTCAGGAGCTTGAACAGAATGATGCGTGTGCGCGGGTCCAGCACCTGCTCCGTCGTCGCCCGGTCTGCCTTGTCCTTGTGCGGCGTGTTGGCCGCCCCCTGGCCCTTGCGGCTCCCCGAATTCGCGTCCTTGCCCATCGTGAATTCGTCCAGGTGGATGCGGCTCGAGTACTTGCTCAGATCCACGCTCTTCAAATTCACGTTGCCGCTGATACTCGGCTTGGCCGCCTTGCCGGCGTCCTGCGCGGCCGTCGCGGCTGCCTTGGCTGGCACGGTATGTTTTGGCTGTGACCGCTGCTGGACCACCTGCTGCCGCATCTTGTTGTACTGCTTGGTGAAGTCGCCGCCGTTCTCGCCCCAGTTCTCTGTGTACCCGAGAAGGTCGTCGGCAGCGATCTGCGCATCGTAGTCGGACTCGCTCGAGAACTCGTCGTAGTACTCGTCCTCGTTGAACTGGTCCGCCTGGCTCTCAATAGTCGACATGCTTGGCCAAGAATGAAAAATAGTGTTTGGTGGTTTTGCGATACTGGAGGCAGAAGAACCGAACCCCCCACGGCCATGCCTGAGCCTTGCCGAGAATAAAAAAACAGAAAAAAAGCTGGGAACCGGCCGGTTTAATAAATTTTTGTGGCTAATTTCGATTGTAATCAGAAGATCTACGATTCCGCAGGAAACGACAGCCTGAAGCCGTGGACCGTGCCCCGGACCCGCTCGTCTCCCGGATCCTCCTCGAACATCGGGCCCACGTACTCCTCGACCACACGCTCGGCCTTCAGCCCCAGCTCGCTTTCGGCCCGCTCAATGAACTCCATGTCCTTGGCAGCCAGCCACGGGCGGTGGTGCGTGAAGAACACATACGCCTCGCCGCCCCTGGATGTTGCGCTGGGCTTGGTAATCAGCTGCCGGCACGAGTTGAGCAGATGCGTGTGCTCCGAGTGGTTGAACACCAGGTCGGACAGAATCAGCACGTCAAACGTCCTGTGCTCGTTGCCCGACAGCCCGGCAATCTTCTCGATCTCGCTGCCCCATTTGAAGCCCTCGACCACCACGGCCCCGCTGGCCAATTCCGCCGGGAAGTTATCCTCCACGTTCTGCCGGATGTTCTCGACCAGGTCGGCGTCCGGGTAGTCAGTGATCACCACCTTTTGCGCGCCACCGCACACGGCCACCAGCGACGGCAGTGCGCCGGCCGCGCCAAACTCGACGACCGACTTGCCACGCACGATCTCTTTGCGTGCGTCCAGGTAGTTGGCAAACAACTTGGCAGCATTCCACAGGTAGTGGCCCCAGAGCGGGTGGGAGCCGAGCAGGTTCACGCGCAGAACAGAGGGCGTGCCGGGCTCGACCAGATCGGATTGCCGGGCGAACTCTTCGCGCTTGGGCTCAGGCTTGGGCGGGAAGTAGCCCTCGGGCTCCTGGAACATGTCGTTGTCGCCGAATCCCTCAAAGTCGCTGCCGTCTGACATTATGGCTGATAGGAGATGTGTGCTGTATGGAGAAGGGATATGTGGCCGATGTGAAGCGCAACACGGTGGACACCCCGAACACACGCCAAAGCAGCACCCAGACCACCAATACCGAGCCCCAGTTTATGGAGAAAATTGCGGTTGAGCTAGCGTTGAAAAAAATCACATTGCGAGCTAAATGATGTAAAAGGCGACTCTACTCGTCGACGAAGAGGAAGGAAAGCATACAGCACAAAAAAGATAATATGGTTAGGGTGGAAGAGGAACTAAACTGTACAGGAATCCAAAATAGGCGGAGAGGCGAGAAAGAAACGTTAGAAAGAGCTTGCTCCAGGAGCTTCGCAGGGCGGGCAATCTATCCACGCCCTGCGGCGTTGTTCATTGAGGCGGCGGCAGCGCCGTTTCCAGACGCCTGGTGGTGCGCAGCCTGTGGCGGCGCGAGCGCATGGTGGTGCAGATGGCTGCCGCGCACCAGCCCGCCCGCAATCCGTGCGCTCTGCGGGTGCAGCAGCGACTGGGCGCCCGGCAGCGGCGAAAAGTAGCCCGACGCGCGTCCCAGGTGCACCTGCTGCGGAGGCAGCGGCGAGGCCGGCGGGTACTGCTGGGCACCCAGCACGCCCGTCGACAGGGACGAAGCCAATGGCGCAGCGGTCATACCGACTGACACTGCTGCTGCTGCTGCTGCTGCTTTACCGCCGGCTGGTCGTACATGTGCGCCAGCGACGGCAGCGAGCGCCCCGCCAGCTTCTGCATGGTGCTGGTCAGGTTGGTCATCGAGCCCCCGCAGTTTGCTGTCGACGCACTGTCGACGCCGTGCGAGCCCAGGTGCGCCGACGAGGAGCCGGGCGTCGGCGTCGCTGTGGTAGCGGTGGTCAAGGTGGGCGTTGTGTTGACGTCCACAGGAAATCGGCCAGCTGGCGGCAAGGGTCCCGACGACGCCAGGTTCATCAGGTGCCGCTGCTGCGCCTGCGACGGCGCGGACGAGTAGGCAGCACTGCTGGTCACCGGCGCCAAAGCACCGACGTCTGATGCGAGTGCGACAAGCTGCTGTTGCTGTTGCTGCTACCCATAGCGGCTATCGGGTGCTGCTGCTGTGGCTGGTAGGGCGGCAGCAGACTGGCCGAATGCAGTGACGACGCAGAGCTAGCACCAGAGATCTGGCTCGGATGCGACGACATTGGCGGGAGCGTGGTCTTGCTGTACTGCGCATGCTGGTGCTGGTACATCTGGCTGGCCGACGACTGATACTGCTGGCCCGGCGGATGTGCTACCATCATCCCGCTGCTCGAATGGCTGCTGCAAGCATTCGGTCCACGATACTGCTGTTGCTGATAGACTGAACTGCTGTGGCCTGGCTGCGACACTGGGATCGCCATGCTGGGCAGCCCTGCGCTGACTGGAGTCTGGTACTCGGGCAGAACCAGTGGGTCGGGGAAGTAGCCCGAGTCAATGGGCTTACCAGCCTTCCTGGCCTGCTGCTGCTGCTGCTGCTGCTGCGACCCATTGCTGTGCTGCTGTCGCCACCCATAGTAATCATGGTGCTGGTCATAGGACGAGCTTGCTGTCACGGTGGACACGCTGTGGATGGAGCTTGCCGCCGGGTGGCTGTATCCGGCGCTGGAGCTGGAGTTCGGCGCGAGCCCAGTCATCTGAACAGACGGGTGCGGATGCGGTGGCGGCCTGCCGACCTGCTCTGGCGGGTGTATCTGGGGGCCAGTCAGGCTTGGAGCCTCGCGAAAATAATACTGTGCGTGCTTGGCTTGCTGCTGATGTATATGCTGCTGCTGCTGCTGCGGGTGCTGCATGTGGGGCTGTGTGTACATGGCAGGCGCGTTGGACGGCGGCTGGAAGTCGCCAATATGAGGCATCTCGCGCTTAGTTGATGCATACGGGTACCCAGGAGGAACTGCCGGGTGATACTGCGATGAAGCCGCGGCTCCTGATGTATACACTTGCTGGGGCTGCTGCTGTTGCTGCTGCTGGGGCTGCTGCTGTGGTTGTTTCGGCTGTTGCTGCTGGGATGGCTGCTGGTGGTGGTGCTGTTGCTGTTGCTGTTGTGAAGAAGCCACCGATGACGCTGACGTAGTGGCCGAAATCGGCACTGTAGGCATCTGGGCAGCCGCAGGCCGGCTCACCAGGCGGCCATCAGGGCCAACACGATGCCGGAAGAACTGGTGCTGGCACGCCTCCTCGGCAGTAATCCTAGCCCTGGGGTCGAACTGCAGCAGCCGGTTCAGCAAATCATGCAGGTTGGCGTAGATTGGGTTAGTCGACGGCGACACAATCTGGCTCAGCGCACGCATCGACCGGACGCCCTTCTGCGACACCCGCGGCTGCTCCGGCGGTGGGTACCGCACGGATCCGTCGGACCTGAAGAACTTGCTGCGCAGATCCGACTGCGTTGCCCGCACAATGTGCGAGGGAGCTGCGCCCACCACAACCTCCATCATAGCCAGGTGCTCGTGGTTGTCGTGGGTCTGGAACAGCGCCTCGCCGGTCAGCAGCTCGATGATGATGCAGCCAATCGACCACATGTCGCACGGGAACGACCACCCGAGGTTCAGGATGATCTCGGGCGCCCGGTAGTGCCGCGTCGAGACCACCTGCGAGTGGTACTCGTTGTCGAATGTGGCACTGCCAAAGTCAATCAGCCGGATGTTGGTCGACTTGAGCATGTGGGTCTGCACCGTCTGGCTGCGCCCGAACGGCACCAGGTCATAGGCCCCGCTCTCGAGCAGAATGTTCTCTGGCTTCAGATCCGTGTGCACCAGGTTGAGCCGGTGCAGGAACGCGACGCTGCGCAGGAGCTGCTCAGCAAACAGCTGCACGTGATGCAGCGAGAACGGGCGGAACTCGTTCTCCTTGAGGAAGTCAAACACGCTGGGGCCCAGCAGCTCAAACACCATGCACACGTGGTTGCGGTGCTCGAATGTCTCGTTCAGGTGCATGCACTGGTACTTGTTGGGTGGGTCGTTGCGCTGCAGCGTCTGCAGCACACGCACCTCGATGCGGGCCGCGTCGCGGTACTTTGGCACCGCCCGGATCACCTTGACGGCGACCAGGCGCCCCGACTGGCTGTCCTCGCACTCCATAACCTTGCCAAACGTGCCCTGCCCAAGCAGTCTCCGGATCTTGAACCGCGGCGTAAACTCACGGCCCGGAACCACAATGTAGTGCCCGTCGCGGTCGTCGCACGGCTCGGCCTTCTGTTGAACGCGACGCATTCCGTCAGCCAATGTGTACCCGGGATATTGTTGCGGTTTGGTCGATTTGGCATTGGGGAGCGCAGGCAGTGGCCGGTTTTGCACCGATTTGACAGCAATGTGTTGCGGAGGATGGACCCCGGATTTGATCGTCGGTTTGGTTTGCAGAGTGCGCGAGTCGACCATCGACGATTTGGTGTTCATGTGTTGTGGCGGTGTTGGCGATCCACCGGTGGTCCGGAACCGGGTTGATTTGGTTGGATCGTTGTGCGCAGAATTGTCGACGCGGTTGTTGCGAGACGACCGGAAAAAACGAGGCGACCAGCGAGAGGACAGACATGGCAGAGTATGGGAAGAGTGCTTGCAATTGTTAGTACAGGATGGCGTTTGAAATGGAGAGCGCGATGGCATATACAGAAAATACTGGGCTGCTGGAGAAAGTGCGAAAAAAAAAATGTGGCCAAAATACAAAAGTTGGTGGGGGGAGCTGAGCTGTTGTGCAAGGCAGGCTTGGCTTTGTCGTCGTCGCCGTCCTCAAGTTAGGAAGGGGTATATAAGACTCGCCCGATAGCGGTTGCACAATGTTTTCTCTATTCCACAGCGAGTAGCGAGGTGGTGCTGCCCACTGGCGATAACTGTGCTGCAGGGCGGCGGGTATCTGGACGGGCAGAGAGGCGGAATGGAAATGTGAAAACTAGAAGCACTGTGTGACCCTGAGGATAAACATGCCGCGGGCGATTGGGCATAGGCGAGCACGCCGGCGTTTATATTTGACGCAGTCGGCCAAAGAAAACAGGCGTGCAGAGCGATCGGGGAGAAATGCCGCCGCCTGCGCCGCCAAGCGGGCCCTGGCTGCCAGTGCATTGGAGTTGGGTAAACCACATCTCGCAGCAGATCGCCGAGAGGGGGAGGGGGCGATAATGGCGTCCGCCCCTCAACAGAGAGCAGTCGCACTGTCAGAGCACCTCTCCCCCTATTGCTCCCAGCCAGTTGATGCACGGACGCAAGCACCAATGCCCGCGGAATGCAGCCCGAGGCGTCGGTGCCTAGACACCACCGCTGCGCTTTCTCCCGCAGCATAGCCCGTCGCCGGCCAAGAGGCGATATCCCACTGATCGCGAATGCGATGCTCTCTCCACAGGCTTCAACACAAACAAACAAACAACCCCACCCGGGTGGGCAAAAGGAGGAGAGAATGCAGAAACGCGCAGGCATGAATGCGGGGAGGCCAGTGTTGGGTCCATCCGCACGAGCAAGCTGGGCATGAATGATGGCGACCCATGCAAAACCTCGGGTCCAAATGGACAATATCGGAATGTGCATTCCAAAGCTGGCCCAGGCGAGAAAAATAGCGAGCACCACTCTCCCTTCGCTTTGCTCTTTTGACGCGTCGTCTGGTCAATTGGGGAGCAAATCCCTTGTGTGCTTTGAAATCTTCCGCTTTTTTCGCAGAGCAATGAGGGGAAAGGGCCCACTATTATGCCAGCCTGGGATCGCGCTTGCAGCGAGCGAGCGAGCGAGAGAAAGAAAAAAAAAAAAAAAAAGAGAGAATGTGCACATCCTGCACCACCCAGAGCAATGTAGACGAGACATGTGGGACTTACCTTTGAGCGCTGCGTCGCGCGGGCACGACCTCCCCGCTGAGTCTTGGCCGCTGCTGCTTGCGCTGCCGCTTGGCTGGCGGTGGAGGCGGGGCTGCTGCTGCTGCTGCTGCCTCGGCTGCTGTTGTCTGTGGAGCTGCCGGCTGCTGGGCAGGAGGAGCTGCTGCTGCCGCTGCTGCGACAGCCCGTGCTGCCTGATACAAACACTGGATGTCCATGCCGGCTGCTGCTGCTGTTGCTGCGAATAATATACGTTGGGGTGTGTGCTGGCAGAGCCAGTAGTAAGCGGCGGCTGCTGGGATATTGTCGCTGCATACTGCTGCTGCTGCTGCTGCTGATGGTGGTTAGAGGAAGGTGCCGTGAATGAGAAGGTTGCTGTAGGCAAACTGCTGGTGGTTTCCGGCAGCGGCTGCAGAAGCAGGCTGTTGTTGTGGTTGTTGTTGTGGTTGCTGTTGTTGTTGTTGCCGCTGTTGCTGCTGCTGTTGGTACACCATCTGTTGTTCCAGCTGTTTCCGCTTGGCTGCGTTCTGGACAACGGATCTGGTCAGGTTAGCGTGGTTGCGGCACAATGTCGGTTGCTGTCGCAGTGGAGGATGAATTTGTGACTGAAGGCGCCGAGGCATGCGGCTGCGTCTCTTCGGCGGCGGCTACAGTAGCAGTCGTGGCGGCAGCGGCGGCGGCAACTCTTGAAGAATATGCAGCTGTTGGAGCTGTAGTGGCTGAAACCGTGCCTAAAGCGAATAAAAAGGGAGATTAGGAAGAGGGAAATGTCCAAGATAACGACGCTTCGCTGTCCAAAAGAGATGCCCATTTTTCTCTCTTCGGTCTGAGCAAGATTGTCGCATTTGCGGAGAAGAAAATGGATACTTTACCGTCGTAATGTGCAGTGCTGGCCAGCTCTGATCGTGGCGACGCATAGTGCGAGACACCGGGGTTATGTACAGTAACGCTGCTGTTGCTGCTGCCGTCGTCGAATCTAGTAGTGTCGTAGAGCGAATTGTAATATAGACTGGGGGCGTGTTCGTTGTGCGCTGCTGGCCGCGGCATGCGGGGCTCCGACTGCTCATCGCTCTCGCTGCTCGAGTCGTGGATAACAATCACTTCGTTTGGCAAAATGTGGAATCCGCTGCCATGATGCCCAGCGCCCGCCCTGTCGACTCCCGCACCAGACATGTAATCCTATATAAAAATTAAACGGGCAAGACGTGCGCACAGGCTGGTGAGTAAAAAAGCAAGTAGAGATTTGGCATGGAGAAAGTGGAAAATGGCCCTCTGCATTTCTGCCTGCGTGTGTGCGTGCGGGTGTGCATGTGTGGGAGAAGCAGCATCAAAGCAAGATGTGAGACTTGTTTGCCGAGAAAGGGGTGTGCTGGTTTCTCGTGGATTTCGTGAGGAGAGCAGCAGCAAGAAAATGCGCAAGAATAACGTGGAGAAAATGAGAGCGGGAATGCTGTGTGGGATGTCTCGACGATGGGGCCAAGGCCCGAACGCAGCAAGAGCAGGAAGCAGGGCTGGAGGGCGTGTGAGCGCGAGGGGGAGGGAGAGGCTCGTATATTGAAAATAAGTGCTCATATACACCCTGTCTATTCATTCATTCTAGCCCAAGCACCGGCCTACTGCCCGCGCCTTCTTTCAGGCCGGCCCTGTGCCATTCTCGCTGCCTGGCAAAAGGGGAATATTCAAGACAGCCCTTTTTTTTCGTCTCTCCCCTGGCACCACGGTGGCAGCAGCGAGAGAAACAAGAGAGGGCCATGAGACACTTTTGCGATGTAGACGAGCGAAGAGAAAAATGACAGCAATCCTGCCAGAGGGATGATGAACGTGCAGCTTTTTTTCCCATCCCGTTTTATCATGCAACAACAGGCCCATGCTCGCCTGAGACGGGCTGCAACAGCGGCATCAGCAAAGCCTGGCCGCCTGCCTGCCTGCCTGCCTGCAAACAGCCCGCCCACAACGGCCAATGGTGGGCGATGGCATCCTGCTACAGAGAGCGAGGAGTGCTGTGGTCCTTACCTGAGCGCAATTTGCCGCTTGTGCCGTGTGTATACCCGCTGGCAAATACAAGGTGACGGCCCTCTGTGCAGGGGCGGTGTGGTTTGTCCGAGGAAAGTACGCGTGTGGCCCTTGCTACCCACGTCGTTCCTGAGATGTAGCGTGTGGTTCCGGGCTGTCGCTAGCTGCTTATCCCTGTTGGCGGCGCCGAAACGGAAAATAAAACCCTCTGAGCGATGATTATAAACAATACGGAAAGGTGGGCTCTTGGTTGTGCCGAGAATGCAAGCGAGCTGAAGTAATTAGAAGGAACCGATTCTAGGCTGCAAAAAGCTGGTGGCAAATAACAGAGGGTGGAAGGAGGAGGAGGTTGGAGGATATACAAGAGAAAGAGGGGGTGCAGAGGAAAAGAGGAAGGCGGGTGCGAGGAAGAGAGGAGGGGGAAGGCCAACGAAAAAAAGTAAAGGTTGCGTGAAAAAGGCGATACTGGCACAGAGCGACAAAAAATAGAAGATTTTCTCGAAAATAAGGGCGAGTCCGCCCGTTTATTGCCAAAGCAAAAAGAAATGCCCAGCCAACAAAAACACGCAGGCGAGAATGGGACGCCATTGTGAAAGAGGGCTCTGAACTCATGCCCCCACCACCACTGGCCAGCACGCAGCGGGCTCCCCGTCCATTCCGAATTGGCAAGGGCGGCGTCTGCAGCGCCTTTTGACACGAGCGGTGTCCGGGAAAGGTGCATCTGACTTGCAAGCGGCGCGTCCCTTTGGCCGCTCGCAAGGCAAATCCCCCACCAGCCGCGCAGAGGAGAGGGACCACGCGCTGAGCCAGCCCTCCTCCACCGCCCGCACGCAGCCAGCAGCCGTATGTCGCTGCAGCTCCCATGATGCGCAACACACTCACACCACCAGCAGCGTCGGCACCAGCACCACCATCAGCATCAGCAGCGGCCGAACGCCAGTGGCCTTCCGATTGTTGGCTCGACCTTGCCATTCCCCCAAATGACCATGTACCGGGCCACCAGCGATCTTCTCCATCCCGGCCCCTCGCCTCCCTCCCCATGCCGCTCCATGCTGTGCGCTGGCCCAAAGAAGGGAACGCGTCCTTTTTTGTAAACAACAGCTAATACCGCTTGGGCGCTATTCTCATGAACAGCACCAGCATAAAGAACACTGATACAACCACCAGCACCGCCAGCCACGTGATTCCGGTCGTGCCCCACGCCTGCTTGCGGTACTTGCTGAGCCGCGAGCCCTGCTTGTCCATGCTGGCCAGGTTGCTGCCCAGCGCCTCGGCTGTCTCATCAACCACATGCTTGTCGCGCTCAATCACATCGCCGAAAGCCCGCGTATTCTTCTTCAGAATCGACGCCATTTGCACCAGATCATTGGTCAGATCCTCCTGCGTCGACCGCTGCGACTTTAGCAGCCGCTCGACGCCCTCTACCGTGTCAGGCACCACCCCGCGACGCCGAAGCCCGTCCATTTCGCCGAGCAGCTCTACAGGCACAAGATGCCGTCGCTCAGCTTCACATTTCTGGCAGACTCGGCCTGTGCATATGTATGTCGCTTCTTACCTTGGCGCTTGCCCGACAGCGACGAGTGCTCCCGCTTGATTGCTCTTGGCGCGCTGCCTTCCAGCCCCAAGCTCTGAGTGTGTCTGCTTTCGGGAGTCTCTGCAGCATCAGCCGCAGCCACCGTGCAGGCGTCATTGACTACCACTGCATCCGAGTGCTTCTCCTCCTCCTTCTCTTCTTCCTTGGCCTGTTGTGCTGGCTGCTTCTCGCCATTCCGCTGCTTCAGCCACTGCATCATTTGCGTCTTCCGCTCGATCCACGGCGACGCCTTTTCATTGACATCCTCCGCCAGGCTTTTGCACTGCTCTGGCAAATCGCCCTCGAGAGCGCTGGCAACTATTCTCTCTATGTTTGCAATTCGCCGCAGCTGCTCGGCATCGAGCGGCTCTGTGAACCCGTCGGCCAGCTGCCTCTGGCACCGCTGGCAGGCTGCGCTGCACATACACGCCCTCGTCCGTCAATGTTACAGCCATGTCAGGATGTGATATTGCTATGTGCTCTCAATTCCCGGAAAGAATGCAGACCTTTTATATGCGGCTCAAGCTACAGTGTGGAAGAATGCGAGAATAAAAGACAGCTGGAGGTTGGCTAGAGGGACTACGTGGCGGGGCGTGCCAAGCCGCCGTGCCGCACACCTGTGGTGATCACACCACAGTCACTCAAAGCCAATGCTTATGCGACTCAGCCGATCACAGATGATGAGACTGATTCATCACCCTAGGCGAGGCCACATAGTTAAGGCTATAAAATAGACACCGGATCACTCCAGGAGTGACCCGGGAGGAATCATCTCTTCTTGTTTAATAATATCAACTGTCCCTATCAATTGATTAGTGCCTGGGCGAGTAGACGAAGCTCGTGACCTTTAAATAGGGTCGCGACATTGGTAGCATCACCCAAGTCCCTTATTCTGTCCTCAGAACTATCGTCTACGTCCACTCCATTTTTCAGCACCATGAACAACAACGCTAATGCCAGTACCAACGCTAACCCGACCTCTGAGCAGCAGGAGGCCCAGTTCAACCAACTCCTGCAGCTGCTGAACGAGCATCCTGTCCTGGGCGATCGTCTCGTGGGCTATATCCAGCAGAGGATGGACAGCCAGAACCAACCAGGAGCAGTGACAGTCCATGCCAACGAAGCACCGAATATTGAACCATACGACATGGTGACGTCGAATGTTACCTTTAAGAATTGGGGAGATAAATGGTCAGCGTACATGGACACAATGCAATCTGGCACGTTGCCTCAAAAGGCGTTGTACTTACGAAATGCAGTAGTCGGACAGGCCAAGACGATGATCGACGCGCACTTAAGCCGACACCCAGGGCGGCAGGCTTTGATCATGGCCACACCGGCGTTCTTCATTGCAGAATTCGACTCAATGCTTTCGCGTCCTGACCACCTGTATGTCTTCCGACACCGCTTGATTGAGCTGAACCAGCGGGGTAAAACTCTACAGCAATATATCGCGGCGGAAGCAGAAATCGTAGGCGGCAGCGACATCGCAGACATTGAGCGAATTTCGTATTTCCTGCATGGGCTGAATCCTAGTCTCTATAAAGCGCTGGTTCGGAAAGCGCCTACTGAGTTTGTAGAAGCACTACGGCTAGTCAACAATGCCGATGTGTTAGAACAAACAGTAGCAGAGGCTACGGGGTTGCAGCCAGCAGCAACTGGCGTATCCAGTCTGCCAGCTCAACCAGAACCAATGGAAGTTTCTGCGGTATACACGAAGGGTAGCTCGATCATTTGGATCAAGGTCGGTTCCATCTCGGTACCCTTGGCCAAGGACCACCCCACATGTAAGCAATGGCTACGTGCACAACGCCGTTGCTTTGCTTGCGGTGATCCTGGTCATGTTTCGCAGAACTGCACCAAGAAGCCGGGAAAAGGTGCAGGGCAGCAGTGACGGATTCGCTGTTGCCCACACCAGAACTGCCAGCCCCTGAACTTTGACTCTCGCGAGCCAGAGGGGGAAGGCAGGTCACCCGTAGATGATCTCGACGAACATGTTGATGACACTACATTTGATCCTGGAGGATCAGTCACCAGCGACGATGTGTTTGTCGATGCCTTCCAAGACTGGTCACATTTGGATCAGCCTTGGGATGAATCGGATGCCAGTAGCCCAAAACGTCGGTGTAAGTCATTGATTGATGATAAACTGACAAAAAAGGTGAAGATCGTGCAGTTATCCTCACTGCAGATCGGGTCAGGAACTAGACCACAGCTCATTGGCACGGTTCTCGGGCGCCCAGTCAGAGCGTTGCTGGACTCGGGTGCCACTACTTCATTTGTCAGCCGAAAGCTAGTATCAGACTTGGGCCTTAAAACAGTCCAGGAGTCTGGATATTCAGCTGCTTTGGCTGACGGTTCGGTGCGCCAGATCTCAGTCTCGGTGCACTTTGACCTCGTGGTGGGTGCATTATGTGTTCCGGTTACGGCATTTGTGCTGCCGTTGAATCGAACAGACATCATACTTGGCTACGACTGGTGGTTGGAAAACCGGTTAACTCCCGATTACCAGTCTAACCAGTGGATTCTAGAACACAATGGCTCACGCTCAGAGATCACGGTTACTACGGCGGTACCGGAATCAGTGATTAGCCTGAATGGCTTACACCGTATGGTTCGGGACCGGAAAATATTGGACGCATAGGTTGTGCTGTTGCGCCAACCAGCAAACCCAAATGGCGTAGAGGTGGTCTGCCAGGATCGAGAACTTGAGCAGACGATACAAGAGTTCGAGTCACTATTCGCGCCAGTGATAGAACTGCCACCTCACCGGTCGGTCGAGCATTCTATTCGGCTAGAGGATGGCCCACCGCATGCGCTTGCGTCGTATCGCATGGGCCGGAAGCAATTGTCGGAATTGAAGGCACAGCTCGACGACATGTTAGCACAAGGCTTGATTCGCCCATCATCGTCACCATGGGCTCATCCAATAATCCTCGTTGGAAAAAAGGATGGCTCTACCCGCATGTGTGTCGACTACCGTTTATTGAACAAGCGGACGATCAAGGACAAGTATCCGTTACCACGGGTCGACGATTGTCTGGACCAGATTGGTACTGCACGTGTGTTCTCTTCGCTGGACCTCCGATCAGGGTATCATCAGATCAGAATGGCCAACGACGACATCGAGAAGACGGCATTCACCACGCGCTATGGCGCGTATGAATTCTTGGTGATGCCATTTGGTTTGTGCAATGCTCCATCGACATTCCAACGGTTGATGAACATTGTACTTCAGCCATTTTCTCGACAAGTTCGTCTTGGTATATCTGGATGATATTCTGATATACTCGGTGGATATGGAGACACATAGACAACATGTACGATTGGTCCTGGAGGCGCTGCGCAAGGCAGATCTGCACCTGAAGCCATCAAAGTGTACCTTCGCTGCCAAATCGGTACAGTTTCTGGGCCATATGGTGACTGACTGTGGGATTACGCCCTGTCAGGACAAGCTCGAAGCGGTTGAGAAATGGCCATTGCCGAATACAGCACGCGACGTACTGTCATTCCTGGGCCTTTGCTCATACTATCGTCGTTTCGTACCTGGATTTGCATCGATCGCTGTGCCGCTTTACCAACTGACCCACGAGCGGACCATGAAGGATGACGTCAACTGGTCTGCCAACGCACGGCTGGCTTTTGCAGCCCTTAAAAAGGCTGTGACAGCAGCACCCGTGCTGAAGGCGCCGGACTGGGACCGCCCATTTGTGATCGAGTCCGATGCAAGCTCTTTCGCGATTGGGGCTGTTCTAGCCCAGCCCTATGGCGACTTCCTACACCCGGTTGCATTTGCTAGTCGCTCCTTACGACCAGCTGAACGTAACTATTCGGCTCGAGAGCGCGAGATGCTAGGCATCGTCTATGCTTTCGAAACGTGGGAGTACATTGTACGCGGTTACGAGGTTACAGTCTATACTGACCATCAGTCCCTGATTGGTGTCTTCGCGGAGCAAAATCCCCATGGTCGCATAGCCCGCTGGCTAGAGCGCTGGATGAGCGTAGCACCCAAGGTCGTATACCTGAAGGGCCAGGCCAACGTGGTTGCTGACTCCTTATCCCGTCGGTTTGATCTCGCCACACTGGTGGCCACTATGAAGCAGGAATTAACACCTGTGGAGAAGTGGGAGCTGACAGCCCGAGCTCTGATACTGAAGCAACCACCGCCGGAGCAGGTGACTGAGCCAGAGGTCAACCGAGTACAACGTGCATTGCCCAATTTGCGACTGTCCAAGCAGAACGTGCTGCTTATCAAGAAGCATAGGACCTGGCTTCCCATCGTAGAGGGGGAAAGAGCGCGCATTGCGCTTGTCCAGGCCTATCACTTGGATTTCGCACATCTAGGTGTATCCTCAGTGTACGGCTTGATGCGTCTGCGGCATTGGTGGCTTCATATGCGCTCATATGTGGAAGACATCATTGCCCAATGTCCAGTATGTCAGGCAGCGACTGCTGGCAGAGATGACAAGTCAAAGGCCCCGATGAATGCGCTAGTACCGCCGGCTGAGCTATTTGTTCGCTGGGGCATTGATTTCATTGGCATTATGCCCCGCACATTGTCAGGAAACGCTTGGATTTTACTGGCGATCGAGCACACATCAAACTGGATCGTGGCTAAAGCTACAAAGGATGCTACAGCTGAAACGGTTGCCGACTTCATCTACTGTGAGATCGCACTCCAGTACGGTGCCCCAGTAGAGATCCTGTCTGATCGTGGCTCTGCATTCCTTAGTGAGGTCACAAGTGCTTACCTTCGCCGCAACCATGTTCGTCACCTCAAGACATCATCCTACCACCCACAAACCAATGGCAAGACCGAACGTGCCAATAGTGTGGTAGGCCAGATGCTATCGAAACTTGCGTTCCATGCCAAGCACCGCTGGGATCAATGGAGGTCATTCACAATCACTAAACTAAGTAAAAAATAATTAGAAATTGTAAAACTTTTTGTTCTTTTGTTTTTTTTGAACTTCTCCGAAACCCCCTTCGGCATCCTGAAAAATTTCAGTTGATTTCTTGTGACCCAGCCTGTATCTCAGTAGAAGCATATTAATTGTGTATCAACTGAAATTTTTCAGGATGCCGAAGGGGGTTTCGGAGAAGCGTCTGTTCTTATATTTTTATTTATTAGTTAATCTAGTTGCTAAAATCTTTTTGGCCATCACTAAACATTCTGATTTTTAAAATATTTTTCAACTAGCTAGTAATTGATTTGTTATTTAATACTTGGTTATTCTGATACAAGATATTAAGTTTCTTTAAACTTTCTTATTTGTGAATGGCCTCCTTAAGAGTACATCTTAACTCCCTTTTGGGACTTGAGTTAAAGAATAGAGATAATATGCCTGATATATCTGATGCAAGATATACTAGTAATGGCATTGAACAGCAAGGATTTGTTCAGCAATCTGATATCTTTATGGATTCATGTGTTGTTGAGATTCCTGACTCATAT